CCCCCCCCCCCCCCCCCCCCCCCCCCCCCCCCCCCCCCCCCCCCCCCCCCCCCCAGGATGGCATCAGGTGGTGAAATAGCACAGCACGATGATGAACTTGTCGATCTACGTGAAAAGAGAGACTATCTCGTCGTCATTGTAGAAAGCTGGCGAACCGGGTGGCGAGGGGATGAGATAGGCTCCATTAGGGCGGTAGTTCGTTTGCTCATGATCCTGGATATATTGCTTAGCCGTGGTTCAGACGCCCAATACACCCCTCCTCCGACGGGTACATACCAGTTGGCTCATGGTTTCTCTCTGCCTTCTTTCGAGATCGGCCGGAAGGTTTAACAATGACAACTTGGATTGCGGATGGGCCTGCCGCCACCAGTCGTATCCTGAGAGGGGACGCCCGATAGCTTTGCTCATCAGCAGGTAAGGCGCTCTGATATCCACGCGAGTCACTATTATACAAGATCAACAACCATCCAGAATACATACTCTGCGAAAAGCACACTCACCTGTACGTGAAGACCTCAGGCACTGGGACCAAGCTATGCCCCCAAACGGACGTTAAAGTAGCAACCTCACTGACAAGCAACTTGGAGGCAAAGATCCACTCGACCCCATCATTGAAGGGAGACGATAACAGCCCAGTTCAGGCTCCCGTCATGCGTAGCTTTGACATGTCGCAGGTACATGGCCAGTTTCGAAGGGTGCAAGCCAGTGTGAGAAGGGTATTTAGATTGAACAGAAAGAGTACTTGAAAATCTTTGGTTTCCCCATGACATTGAGAACGTTCAATGCCAAAGACAACAAAAAGTGGGTGGGCCACCCACTGCATTACTTCCTTCCCTGTTTACTCTCAGCGCCATAGTTGGCAGGGTTTTACATCGAATTCTGCGGGTTTGTCTTCAGAAGATGCGTTTCCTTATTCAATCTAATTATAACTGGCGTGGGATTCAGCTATAGCGAGGAGTTGCCTATGTGTACGGATAATCTGTTGTTGGTGTCACTTCCCCTTTCTTTTCCATTCATGCTCTTGGTAGGGAGCCGAGACGGAGTTTTGCGATTCCGTCTTACTAGTCTGCAAAGCGACTATTTATGTTCTGGTAACCGCTCTTGCCCACTGTAATCAAACGAGAAAACCTCCTTGCTAATTACAGTTAGCCAGAACCTGCTTGAAGTAACCCACCCCTCTTTTCCTTCTAGGAACGAGTTATTTATAGAACAGTAAGGTTCTGGAGTTGGGCTTGCCTGTTGATTAGAATCTATCAACTTGTCAAGAACGTCTCTTAATTACTAAAGAAAACCTGGGGGCTATCGAGCCACAACCGCACAGCATGACCAACCAACCTCCAGACGAGCATGCGGTTTACCGCGCGTTGTTTGGAATCTTCACGGGGGCCAATTCGAGCATCCGAAAACCAAAGGCCATCCGCAAGCTCATTGAGCAACATGGGAATGATGAGGCCATTTCTGCCCTCCTCCAGGCGCACAGCCTCGACGACTTGTGTACGGTCGCAAAGAAATTTCTGGACGAGGACTTGTTCGCCCCCAATAAGATGACTGCTACGAGTCGATTTTTCTCAGCCCGGATGGAAGCTTTGGAACAACAAAGGCGCGCGACTACAGCCTCGGACGACTTGTGCGGGAGGTGCAAGCGGATCGACTTTGCCAAGATCTTCGCCGCCAAGCCGGCTTCCAGAGATGGTAGCCTGGTCGCCCACCTGGGGAAGGAAACGGCCAAATGGGGACTGTCATCATGCCCATTGTGTCGGCTATTTGCAGCCGTCAGAACACCACATCCGCATGTTGACCCGCGGTACTCATCGGGACCACCCAAGGACGACAGCTACTGCCTGTGGGGTTTCCCCGCTTGCACGCTGTTCGATGTCTACGGCGCGCTCCCCATTGAGCTGCCCAATATCGTCGACAACGTGGTGCTCGGCGTGTTTCTCGAAAGGGACGCTGCCGCCGGCAAGCTCCGGGACGTGATATCGCAGAACAATCCGGATTTCATCTGCGATGCCTCGGACCGGGATCCAGGGCATCTCCGGGCCATCAACGGTCGCGTCGTCGACGCCCGGCGGATCGATCTCGGCATCCTCCGGGAATGGCTGCAGTATTGCCAGGATGAGCACGATACAACATCGCTCTGCAGGGTCCGGGGTTCCACAGATGACATCCCCTTGTTCAAGGTCATCGATTGTGAGACTAGACGCGTTGTGGAGCCGCCAGAGCGATGCAGGTTCTCGGCCCTCAGCTACGTCTGGGGCGTAGCAAACGACCCTCCAAATGTCGTCGACCAAGGAGGGAGCTTCAGGCACGGAACTCTCCCTGCCGTTGTCGAGGACGCCATCGCAGTCACGGCGGAAGCAGGTCTGCGCTACCTTTGGGTCGATAAGTACTGCATCGCACAGGACGATCGCGAGATAAAGCACGCACAGTTCCGATCCATGGCCAGGGTGTACAGCGCGGCCCAGTTCACCGTCTTCGCTACCGCCGGCGACGATTCGGCTGCCGGACTACCCGGAATCGGTTCCGGCCGGACTCGAGAAGTGACGCCGCCCGTGATAGTCGGCGACCTGACCCTGACAAGGGTCTCACTGACTCGTGACCACTTCAGAATGAAAATCACCCGCTCCAAGTGGTTCGAGAGGGCCTGGACATATCAGGAAGCCATCTTCTCCCGCCGCCGCGTCTTCTTCACCGACCACGGCATGTACTTTGAATGCAGTGGCATGTGGTGTTCCGAGCATCTCAACGAGGCGCCCCCCATCCGAGCCCTCCGGAACGCGCCCAACCCGTCGTTCCCGCAAGCCCATGTCTTACTGACGGAGTCAAAGCTGCTGGATTGCATCCAGGACTACAGCCGACGCAAGCTCACGTTCGAAGAGGACAAATTGAACGCCTTTCTCGGCGTTCTGCAGTGTTTCGAGGACCTCCCAGATCCGATCCGCCACTACCAGGGAGTCCCCATATTAGCCTCGCCGACGACGACTACCGGAGGGGACCAAGCCCCCCGTCTCGGTCGGCGGAGCTGCAAGGATGGGTTTCTCCACGGGCTCTGCTGGGACATCAACCTACCAGGCACCCGACGCGCTGGGTTTCCCAGCTGGTCCTGGACCGGTTGGCAGTTCTCGGTGCAATACTCGCCCAGCCTTCTCAAGCAGGCCGAGGACATCCGATCCGACGCCTCCGAGAGCGATATAGGACTCTGGGCCGAGCTCGAGGGCGGCTGGGTGGTGCCGTGGCCTTCGCACGCGGGCTTCACCGACATACTACATGTCAAAGCCCCATCTGCGCTGTCTCGCTTCGTCCACATCGACGCCTGGACCGTGGATCTGCGGTTCGAGGACTCGGGCATCGCGTGGGGCCACAGTCGAGACCGTCCCGCGACGCTCAGGGACAACGACACGCACGAGCCGTACTTCACCCTGTTCCCGGGGACGAGGTCGTATCCGGGCCTATATGGTGACTACTTCTGGACCATCGACGTCGGCCCCTCGGCGCAGAACCCCGCCGGCGGCAAGGCGTACGTCCCGCTCTGCCTGACGAGAGACGTCCGGGAGTTCCCCGGCCTGGCGGAACGCCTGCTCGGCGAGACGTGGACGGGGATCATCCTACCGCCAACGGGCCCGGATGCGGCGCCGCACCGCATCACCATCCTCGTCGTCGACTCTGACGGGGACGCGACGGCGGAGCGGGTGGGCATCGTCGAGTTGCGGGCGTCTGCGGCGCGGTGGAGGGGCAGGAAGGCCGCAAACCCGATCACGCTGGCGCAGAGGGGCGTCGAGGCGGACGCGCTGGCGGAGGTTGGGGCCAAGGTTGGGACGGGCGCCAATCGGGAGCTGAAGATGAGGTGGCTGGATCAGAGCACGGGGATGACGGAGGAGGAGAGGCAGAGGGGCACCGGGTCGTGGGACGACGTGCTGGCCGCGTTTGCTCGTGGGGTGCCTAGGACGAGGCGGCGGATTCGGCTGGGTTGAAAACGGGGTTTGGGAAGCAGTGTAAATTAAGTGACTGTGGCCCCTGAGCAAAAGTGAACTAATTGGGCCGCTGTCAATTGCAGGATCCATAACCCTGTTACTCCCTAAGGTTCTCCACTGAGGAATCGACGCCGTTCTCCTACCGAAGCCGTCCCAATATCGACAACGGAGAGCATGATGTTCATCCCAACGCCCCCTTGTATGTGAGTCTATAGTCTTTCTAAGCCATGCCAAGGTTGATCTTCAAACTTCTCCTCTTCCCAACGATCCATGGGGTTGTATCCCTCCATATCATGCATCGCTTCTGAGATGGTCGCCAATGTGTGTTGTGAAGAGGCCAGCGTGTGGTCATTCCTCGGGACTGTCTGTGTCTTTCCTTGGGGCTCCAATGAATCCTTGCAGCTTCCAACAGGAGACGGGAGTTCCTTCGCATCTTGAGGGTATGGCGCTTGGGTAGCGTGGCCATGGCGAGGTATCACGAGGTGGACGGGAGACATGTTGGGCAGGGCGGAGACTCGTTCACCCTCGTTGCTGCCGTCATGTATGCTCTGACTGGGGTCAATTGGGGAAGCCATTGATGCGTGCCACTTTGGACGAGTCTCACCGACGTGGTCTCTTGGACCTTGCCAGGGTTTCCGGTATCAGCTCCGTGCTGGACGGTACTGTTGGGTAGAGACATGGTGGTAATTGGTCTGTCTCTCAGGGAGATGGCTTGAGCAGGAGGCGAGGAATTCATGGGCGAAGAAAAGAGAGTGGGTTATTAGTATCATGAACAAGTGAAACTGGAAGAATACGCTCCTTGGATGCTCAAGTGTATTGAGCACTGCTCACCCGCAAAGGCTGTTTGTGGTTGAATCCAAGGCATTCGGAGGATTGGTATATATAGAAAAAGAGGGCTGATTCCCACGACATATCCCGCACGATGACTATGCGTGTAGAAATGTCACTTTTGCCAGTTGTGCGAGCTGATGGAGATGGCCTTGAAGACGGCAGCAACACATAGTTTACCTCTACATGGTAATCCAAATGGAAACATTCAAAAGTGACATTCAGAGCGGCAACTTCTGCTCACCGTACCTACCGTACCTTAGGTACCTAGGTACCCATGTATATTCTCAAGGTGCCCGAGGGGGCTTGGAGACGGGCATGCAGTGTGATAGAATCCATGGTTGGGTCGGGGGTTGTAGTACATAGGTAGGTACCTACCTAGGTAAGTACTGTAGGTACCTTAGGCATACGAGTGCTTAGGTAGGTAGGTAGGTACCTAAGTATCGAATTGGTGCGCGATCCACACGACAGGGGTTTAAATGTCACTTTTGCTTGCAGCATTGGTGGACAGGGTATGCGAGGGCTTCCATTGGGCTGGCCTCACGGCTCTTGCCGAATGTCACTTTTGTCATGGTGAGGCTGAGGGTTGCGGTCGCCTGATTTAGAGTGACCGCGACCCACGACTGCACACCTTGAAAGTCCAGATCTCTTCGAACATTGGACGCTACTTGAACGGCCCCATTCCTGTTCTTGAACACTCAGGCTCAGAGTATTGTTGCAACTCGAGACTTTCATTCCTCAAACCCCTGAAAAATGGCTTCTGCGCAGCCTCACGGGCGCCGAGCGTACAAGCGAATCGGATCTCACATATGGAATGAGCACAAAGAGGTCATCCGGGAGCTCTTCCTAGACCAGGAAAAAACCCACGAGCAAGTTTCCGTCATCCTAGCAGACCGTTACAGCCTTGACGTCGGGTGAGTGTGCAAGTGTTGAACCGCACATATGAGAAACTAGCCCGTTTACTTATCCTCGACGGAATACGCAGACTGAGGCAACTGAAGAGGAAGACTGATGGGTGGGGCTTCTTCAAGAACATCCCCAGCGCCGAGATGAAAAAAATGGCGCGTATCAGAGCCAGACGGCAAGATCAGTTGGGCCGAGAAACCAAGTTCATCCGCGGAAATGGTGACGGATCACCCCGAGAAGTTCCTCAGGAGAAGCTGGATGCCTATCAAAAGCGTTTCGGATGCTCCATGGACTTGATGTCACAGTCATCTGGTGAGTTTAAAGGCTCGTTTAGGGAGGATACGACAAAATGCTGACGAGACGGGGAACAAGGTACGCCGCCCAACATTGTTTACCAAACCCCGTCGAATGGCAACCAGACGCCAAGCGTGGGCAACCGTGGACAGGCCCCCAGCTACGCAGAAAGGGTTCCGGTATTCAATGAGTCCGTCAACCGTGCTTTTATCAACTTCGGCTCTGCTGAGTTAGACTCTCTTTCGTCCTCGCAACCTAGTCGAATCACCACCACCCCGCTTACGTGGCCAGCAATCAGCCGTCTTGAGGATTCGGCTGCAGAGGACGCCTTGGACGGCGACTATACTGAAGCAAGCCAGAAATTTAAACTGCTTTCTCAGTTACCCTGCTACTCTCACTCGGTCGCCGTATCGCTGGAGTTTGTAACCTTGATAATGGAAGCAGCAAACTATGCCGGCTGTCCGCAGAGCCTTGTTGCAAGAATTACCACTTTAATCTCTCACTTCCTAATGCGTGAGAGGGAGCGCTACGCCAATGACCATTCCAAGGGCGGAGACGTGACGGAGCTGGACAAAACGTTAGCTGCGCTGAAAATAGACGCTCGATACTATGGGCGGCTGGTAGTGCATCAGCGAGTCCTGCGAATCTGGGAGCCCATTCTGGGACTGGGGCATCCCAAAATTAGAAAGCTATCAGCCCAAATTTCGGCCTTCCGACACGCCAACGTTGTGGATCTGGAGATCGATCCCAAGTTGGGCGAGGAGTTTTCCTCTTGGACAGACATACTGAAGCCAGATGAGATACCGCGGCTGAGGGGCGCGTCAGGCCTCCGCAACCTCATGCACCTAGAAGATGGCCCTCCAGATCAGCTGCGCGAGAAACTCCGGGTTCTTGAGAGTTCTGACATCACAAGCTCCGAGGCTAAGCGAGAAATGGAACTCTTGCAACATGGGAGATATCAGGCTCTGTTGGGAGTGTACCATTCCCTTCTTGGCAATTTCGAGGATGCTGAAAATGCATTTCAAGAGAGCATCGTACACATTGGATATGAAGTCTGTGTCGAAGTCAAGCTCCACCGCCTGCTGTGGTATGCCGAGCACAAGACCAGAGTCCAAGATTGGGATGGGGTGTGGGGCCTATTAGGTCAAGCACACGCGGCTTTCATGCGCAATGAGCGTCCTTCTGATTTCATCATTTATCATGTCCCGGGACGCTTCGAGTCACTCTGCAAGGCCATTTCCAAGCGAGTTCCCATCGACAGAGTCGCCGCGGATGATTCCCAGATCCCGCGAGCCGGAAGCCTCCCCGCGCCTACTCCTGGAGCCATTCCGCTCGCGGCACCCTCACAAGCCGCCAGCCCGATTATATCTCTCCAGCGGCTATTTCCGTCGACTCCCGGGAGCGCCAACTTTGCAGTCGACATAGATGCCTGGGCCGAATTTGTGCAATTTTCCCCGGTCGCGCTGGCCGCGACGCCAGCTGTAACAGGGTCGATTACTCAGGAGGACTGACGTCTTTGCAAGGTCTGGCCGGTCAGTTGGAAGTGGCGTCTCCGCCCATTCTCGAGGATTCCGTTTGTCATACTGCTCTCTGCTAGGTATTTGTGGACTGGATTCGAGGATTCGCTATGCACCAGGACACCGTCTTGGTTCGTGTTGATACATAGCATGTAGGTTGCTATTGTGACATGAGATGACATTTTTCTTCCTTTTCTATGACATAAGCTCAGCGTTCTTTTAAACTATCCAAATAGTACCTTTGACTGAGAATGCCAAGAAGATATATTGGGTGATGCTCTCCCGCCACTGATCTTGGTTACCGTAGTATGATCAGACGGAAAACACTTGTCACCGTTGGGAGATTTCAGGATAAAAGGATGTTTAATAATCCTTCCTGTATTCGACTTCTTCTGCCCGGCACCCTCCTCGTGGATTCCATCGTTTCCCCGGGGGTTCATCTTCACCCAAACAAAGATTGGGATGGCAGCAGCAACTGGGATGGTCGCGGTCAGAATCGCGCAAACGCGCCACGCGACTTGCTCACCGGCGGTGGGGAAAGGTGAATTCCACGCCAGGCAGTGCAGGCCGCCAATGAGAACACCACTGATTACGGAACCAAAAACCATCATTAGGAATTCGTCATTCGCGTGGAAGAACTCGGAGAGCCGCTCAACTGGGCCAGAAGCGGGCCCCCTATTTTCGTCAGAACCGGGAAAAGGGACAGGATGCACGCTGTCGTTCGGAATAGGGAGAGGGCCCTGATACTCCTCCTTGGCGACCGGCGGTCGGTAGCCGAGCTAGATGTACGTAGGTCCGGCTTGAGGGAATATTTCCGCACGGCTTGCCCAGCCCGGATCACCCTTCGTCACCCTTGGCTGGACGACGTGAATCGCTTTGACACCCTTTGGCCGAACCCAGTGTAGGATGTAGGCAACGAAGCTCGAGGCGGCGAAGGCGACAGTGCCTCTCTCGAGCTGCGTCGAGGGTGCCGGAGGAAGAGTGCAATTAGGCTTGAACGTTGAGGCAAGGGGTGAGTCCACCAAGACAGCCAGCACAAGTAGGTAAAATTTTGCTTAAATAGAGGCACTTTATGATCGGTAGTGGATGGGCTTTGATGTGGGGATATCGAGCGCGTTGGGACTGCGAGGAGTGACGGATCCAGACAAAATATGGGACACTGGACAGTATGGGGACCTGACTTGTGCCGTACCTTATACAATTGGAGATTGCTGCCTTCCACCGGTTTGGTCCTCTCAGAGTGGGAAGCCACTCAGACGCCCCGTGCATGTGTCGGAGTGGCGGGCAATTGCCCCAGCGGCGAGTTTCGCGGAACTGTAACCCTGACTGCGAATGCCTGCTCGCCGAGGAGGGCCACTCCTGCCAGGCTTGTCGGCCGCCATAGGGAGTGACGAAGCCTCAGCCTTCACCGACATCGTTTCGAGGCATAACCCTGAGATGCACTATGATAGATACAATATTTACACGCTCCCTTTGCGGCCTTGCTCCCCAGGCAGTTCCGATAGCCGAGCTGCCGACGGGTCTGCCTCATAGTAGATTGGTTCTTCCTGTAATGCTACGGCCGGCTGACCACTCCCAATTTCGTACGGCGGTTGGTTACCATGAGGCGATGTCTGTCGTTGTGAAGGCTTCTCTGCCTCCTCCTTGGGGAGGCGTCCGCAAAGGTTGAAGACGAAATATCCCAGGACAAAACTGGCGAGCGCAACAAGGGGAATGCCAAGGCCGAGGCCAAGACCGAGGGGAAGGCGAAGGTCGAGGCCTGACGCAGACCCAGCGTCAGTGGTTGGTGATTCCGGTTTGGATGAAGGTGTAGGCGGAGCGGTCGAAGTAACAAGCCGTTTACTACTGATGTTGAAGGAGTGAGAGCTGAAACCCGAGTCGCCCGCCGAGTTTTCGATTTCAAGGATGAATACCGGGGAGATGTCAAGGTCGAAGGTATAAGTCTGGACCGTCCAGTTCAACCCGCCTGGCTCTGCTTGGTTCTGGGGCTTGCCTTGAGACAACGTTAGACAAATTGTTTGGTATAGGATGACTATAAGAGAGGGAAATAAGCAAAGCTGGTGCTGAAATTACTGAAGATTGTTGTGCCAGGCGCGGTGAACGGAGTGTTACCGTTCATAATATCCCGCTGGTAGAGTCGTAGATTGTATGAGTCCCAATCCGTGGTCCAGCGAAGCTCTTCAACGTCCCCTAGCCTGAAGATCAAGTTGTCGCCATAGATGTCATCTTCTATGATGGCAGGGGGGTGAATAAAGTTGCCGAATATTTCGTCCGCAGAGTCGGCATTCGAAGTCGGTCTCATAAATGGTAGCAACAGGAAAAGAAACAGAAAAACCATCTTGGGACCGAATGGGAAACGGATTAACCAGGAGGTTTCTGGTGTGCGCATATGTCATGGGAAGACGCGGAAGGATTGGCGAAGGTGCGAAGCAATCAACAAAAACAAGGGGGGTCTGATGAGTAAAATGAGCTATTGAATGCCAAGAGTTTTCCGCTGCACGAGCTCGCCAGGATTGGCGACAGCTGTACGACGATGGCGTTTCTGATGTTTGGGCCCGCCAATCACACGAACAGGGTGGAAGTAAATTTGCGGCTGGACCCAAGCCACCTACTTCTATGCGTACGGGGGTACATAGTATTGTACTTCCTCAACCGCTGCAACTGAGAGAGCCCTTGTCTAGATGCTGCCAAGTTGGGTTTTCGCAACTGCCATGAACAAGGAGAATCGGTTACTACCGGATGAGTAAGAGTAGGGACCAAACCGCAGGCCCCGATTGATATACCCACAACATAGCAAACCAACTCTTCACCATGGTATAGTCTAGGACGTGGTTGTCTCCTTACTCGGCGATCAACATCAAGCCAAGGGGAGGAAGCAGGCCGTCACAAGAGTGGCATGGTGGAAGAGGCGTTCCTTAATCTAGTCTTGCAAGCTAAGAACTAAGAGCTGACACCAGGGCTTCTGCGAGCAGTGCTGGAGACATTCGGAAGCTTTGAGCATTCAGAGACCCAAGCATTCTCCCCCCATACAATTGGCGCGTTCAACCCCAGTAAGCTAAAGACCTAGAAAGCAACCACATGGAGTGACATAGCCTTGATTGCTGCAAACTAGGCTGCTTTCATCGCTTCTGTGAAGATATATTAGGTGATGCTCTCCCGCCACTGATCTTGATTACCTTTGGTAGTACGACCAGACGGAAAACAAATGTCACTGTCGACTAAATAAATTGGGCGATTTCAGTATAAAGAGACGTTACTTATGATTGGACATCAGAACTAACATCCTCACCTCACGTACATACAGATCAATGACTGTTTGAAAAGGGGTAAAGGGGGTGGCTCGTGCTCAGCTCGTCACTTCATTAAATGCCTATTTAAATATTCCAGCTGATATTGCCTGTTTCCTTCTTCCCTCTTTATGTATGACGATACAGGGCCTAAGAAACGTTTCGTATACCTTCTCCATAATTTTTGAACCGTTGCAGTAAATACCTAGTCTTTCTCCCAAGATATCTCGGTGCCGAGTCCATTAAGCTCTCTTTGGTGGAATTAGGTTATTACGATCCGAGGCGCATGCAGCCCCAGGTACCTATTGTTGCCTACTGCCGACCAACTCTAATCTTCGTCCTTTCCACTTCAATGATATCTACTGTTGGAATGGTGCCCTCGTCTTCACTAGATCACCAATAGGGATTATCCTACTCACTGCTTGGTTCTTGGGACATCACCTCACACTGTCATTACGATGGCTTCACCTTCGTCCAGCGCAGCAAACGCCCCCCAGGCCCCAGCACGCGCCTCTGTGCTTACTGGGCTCCCTTTCGAGATACTGGCAGAAATCTTGTCAGACTATGAACTTGACCAATCCGATAGGAAGGAACTTCGCCTCACTTGCAGGGTCCTTGAGGGTATCGCAACCCCTCTGGTCTTCCGGCGCGTGCCTTTGAGCAAGCTGATCTCAGACCGCGATGCGTTCCTCAAAATTGCTAGCCGCCCCCACCTGGCCGAGCACGTCAGGGAGATAGTATGGTATGAACTGGCGCCCGACGAAGGTTCCAGCTTCTTCGACCGCCTCGGCAGACTTGGAAGCTTCACCTTGGAAGAAGGTGACTATATCGACAATCTTGTCCCCGAAATGGAATCCCGGGCTTCCAACCTATTTTGGCTTCCCCTTGTCTTGTGGCTCCCCAGTGTCCCAACTGACGATGGTGATGCCAGTCGTGAAGAGTCCGAGATCAAGCTTGCCGAGGCCATCTCCGGGTTCTCGGAGGCGTTTGTCTCTGCACTTGATTCAATGCCGAAGCTCAGAACCTTCATATCGCAGGAGATGCCACAGGACCGGGTCCTCTGCGATGACGGATACCCCATCACTGCTGGGACGTTGCAAGCTTTGGGCAATGGCTCGATCCGGAGAGACGGCCTTTTCCATTTCTTGTTCCCGGCCATGGCACGCCCGGGCTCGACTGTGACAAGCCTATACTGGTCGGACCACAATATCTTCGAGAGCATCTTGACGCTGCAGGATCTGGTTTCCGCTTCGGCTTCACCCCGTCTCGACTGTCTCACCTCAATCGACCTATGCCTCGACTGGTCTAAAATCCCAGACAGACCATCTACCGCCGCGAAGTACACTCTCAGCCTTGGATCGGACCTAATATCGACGTTCAGCAAGTGGCTTCACTCAGCAAAGTCGCTCCAGCATCTCCGGCTCTGTCACGAGCACACTGTTATCCGGAATTACGGGATTGGAAAGGCACTGTTGGTCGTTGAAGGTTCCGTACCCTGGGAGAATCTGCAAACCCTGGCCCTCGCCAACATGGAAGTTCATCGTGCGTCCTTCTTACAATTCGTACGCGAGCACGCTCACACCCTGAGGCGGCTATCTCTGAAGGCCTGCGAGACTAGATGGGAAACCGTGGAGGCAATGGGGGCAATCCCACGTCTGAAGTTAGATTCTCTGCAGCTTGAGGAGGACGACGACGACCAGGGTGTCAGGAAGATAGTATCGGAATCGTCCCTTCTACGTTTCGTCAACAAGGAGACCGATCGGCGCCCTTGGGAAGATCTGCATCGGTCGGATAGCAGGACTCCCAGGTATGTTGTCACGAGAAAATACGTGGCCCCTGGTTGGGAGTATGCGCATAGAACATATTACCCCGGCGGTCCACCCAACTTTGTTGAATCAACGGCGTCATCGGTCGATAGCGAGGATACGCAGCACTTGGAAGCGCCAAATTGGTGCTGCGGCCGGCTCGCTCGCAGGGGCGAGGCCTTTGAAATCTACTACTGGCCCGTCCCTCAGGGCACGCCTGGCAGCTTTCCCACCGAGAATTGGAAGTTTATTCACAGAAGCGGCCTTGTGTCGTACGGGACCGAACCTTTGGAGGACTTCGAAGACTGGGATAGAGAGGAGGGCGATGTAGCGGAGGCAGTGCCCTTCGGGGCGATGTTCAGCGAGTTCGTGAAGGCCAGGGCGCAAGACAATGAACGGCACGACTTTAGCATCGGTCAGTTCTTTGGAGCATCGTGGGATTTGAATCCGGCACAGCTTGTCCTCCCAGATGGCGCCGTCCTGTATTCTAGAGCAGATGATCCATTCGATTTTGATGAGGAGGAAGGAAGCAGCATGTATGGCTACTTACCTGACAGCGGGGAGGACTTGTAAATAGCAATTGTGGGTAACATTAAGCCCGAAAAGATTGGGAAATTCATAAACAAAGTTGTGAGCACCTCTATATAATGCGTGATTCATGTACAGCCCTGGCAGCCCCTGATGGAGAACCACCCATAGGACGAGAATATGTACACACAGAGAAAAAGAAACTCTCCTCCCCATCTTGACCCCAATCAACCATTCTAGGCGCACGTATCACGCCCATCTTCTCCCCGCCACCCCAGCGACGACCCCCGTCCCAGCCGGGAACGCCACCGCCGTCGCCGCCGCCACCACCGACACGGGCGTCCCGGCCGCCGACGACAGGCTCAGCGACTGGCTCGACGGCACCACTGGCGCAGCGCCGCTGATCACCGTCGGGCCGGGGATCTGGTACGTCGTCAGGTTCTTGTAGATGTCGATGTCGACGCCCGGGTCGTGCGCGCCGTACAGCTCCTGCGCCCGCACGCCGCCGCTGTCTTCCCCGACGACGACGGCGCCGGTGGCATCCGCCGTGCCGTTCGCGTCGGGAGGCATGACCCACAGGTTGATGCACTGCGGGTAGTTCTGCGCGCCGTCGGGCTGCGCGGCGTAGTGCAGGGCCAGAAGCTCGTGGCGCAGGACGTAGGCGCCCGGCTCCAGCGCCGGCGGAAGGCCCACCAGCCAGCTGTTGTTGTGCGAGATCAGCACCTCGGTCGACCAGGTCCCGGGCGGCCCGTCGGGCTGCCCCAGCAGCGCGGGGCTGCTGTCGTCGATCTTGAAGAAGGCCAGCTGCGTCTTGTCGACGCTGGCGCACCCGTCGGCGGCGCCGCCGCACGACGCCAGGTACGACATCACCGGCCCGTTGTGCGACTGCGGCCAGCCGTTCCACTGGATGTGGATCTTATCGCCGGCGCGGACGGGCGCGTGGGCCTTGGCGGGGGCGCCGTCGCGGTGGCAGACGATGTCCGGGGTGGTGTAGTTGGACGGCGGTACGAAGCCGTCGTCGGCCACGGTGGTGGACCACCCGACCACGTTGTCTGCGTTGTCGGGGATCTTGGGGTCGAACCCCGGGTAGACGAGGCCGTTGACGATGATGTAACTGATGTGGGAGTGCGCGGCGACGAGCCGGGCTGGGCTGGAGGCCAGTAATGCTGCGGCCCAAGCGAGGCGCGCCATGCTGGCCTGGGCTGGTGGGAAGAGATTGGGCAGATCAGACGCTTGACTTTGCTCTGAAGTTTCACTCTCAAATGTTCGATCAAATGTTCGATTTCCGAGATCTGGGCAATTGCCAAGAAGGGACGGGATGAGAAGGGGCGGGATGAGGAGAATAAGGGCATGTACTAAGGGGATTAATTGCTCCTTATCTACCCAAGTAATTATAGAGATCGTCGTCACCGGATACCCGGAAACAAATTGAGACGGGAAGAAGGTCTGGGTGCTTCTCCGTCTTTCATATGCGGAATCATCTCGGAGACCAACGTTGGCAAACGAGAATTCCGGGTCCAGCACGACATACTAGGCGGCATATAGCCAGGATAAACTTGAGGGTGGGCAGTTTATGTGGTGAAGGATAAAGTGAAGCCGGGGAAAGGTTGTCAGAAACAAATGAACCCGAGAGACGATCTTGGCCAACCTACCTCGGATCCTGCAGAACAAAGATCATCAAGCGCATGTAGATCGCAGGACGGGTGAGGCAGTTTAAATGCTATTGCTTCGCATATGATCTGCCGTCTTAGCCATCACGGATAAATAGGCCGTATCCCCAAGTGTGGGGGATTCAATTAACTTGCCTCGGGGCTTCCAGAAAGATCTCGGAGGCTGCGAGCCGGCCGGCACAGCCATCCTCCACATTCGGCAAGGATTCTCCGCAATTCGCCCGCAATTCTAACCCGGATACGGATGCACTCGTTGCATTCATGAGAAAGGGGACACGTATCGGCCGCGAGGGGAGATCGCCGTGGATGATCGGCACCGATGCTGCAGCTGTGCAAATCCATCCCTGGAAGTGCAACCTGTCGGTCCGGGCCCGAAATGTTCGTCGAGGGGAGAACCTGACGCCGTCATAAACCAGGTCGAGATTAGGGGAGGATTGGGGCTTCATCCGTAAAACATGGCTATAAGTTCGACTGGCATGCTGAGATTGGCCAATGAGATGTCTTCAGGCAAGACCACCCCAGGTAATATGTCTTCTCCTTGCCAGGGATTATCGTTTGCCTGAACTATCACGCTCTGTTATTATTACCCCAGAGTATGCGGCTCATAGGACGAGTGATGGATGGATAGAACGCCTAGATCGTCGGTGTTAAAGACTTCTTCAAATTGAGGGCTAAGAAATGCGACGAGAACAGTGATCACCTCTCCCAAGGGTTTCGCGATTCGATTCCAGCAGCGAGAAATACTTCTGTCAGCTTTCTTGCAGTAACTACCAACGTCATGTCTGCAGGTCCGGAGAGCTCCATTGCGGTTGCATCTTGTAGTCTATTGACATTTCAGTCCACTTCCAAGGCAGCATCTAGTTAAATTCAAAGGAAGTATGAACTATCGGATGGGCCTTGGATGAGTCTGAGGTAAATCAGGAAGCAGGAGCTTCACTCTCTCTTCACTGCTCTCTATGCACATACTTTGACCAGCAGCCGTCATGTCAAAGAGGTTCAGTTAAGGATGACAAGGTGACAATCGCCTGGTGTTGAACTGACTGAGAACTGACCTATTAACCTAGAATAGAACCTGTCAACCTAAAACCTCTCTACTCCGTAGGATTGGCTCTTACTCTCCAAACCAAGTGACAGATTGGGAGTGTGGAAGTACAAGCTAGCGTGTGGTGTCTCGTCGTCGGGACAGCAGCTAAGTGGTTGAGGATTACAATTCATTCTGACTCATCGTGTCCAGTGGCAACTGTGTAGTGGAGGGACTGAAGCTATGTGTTTCGTAATTACCGCTGCGGAGGGAAGAGGAAGATCGTTTAACTAGTTCCTTCAAGCAAAAATTTCCCGCATGAATAAGCTGGGTTCAACTTCAAATATGGAATCGTGCATCTGTATTGACTGATCTAAGAGCAATGGTACTAACAAATCCCTCGAGTTCGGAGGAAAGTTGCAAGGGTGCGGCTGTCTTTACCTTGAGGTTAGGCTCCCCTCTTGATGTTCCCATCCGACTTCCCTTCCAAGAGGGTTTCTGTTTGGTTGTGCTAAAACCCTTGGCTTTACTTTGTCAACGGAACTTGTCGGGTGTTTGATGCCATGTGACTATTGTAATCCACCGGTTTCATCTCCGAACAATCACTAATTAGAAGAAAGCAACCTTCTCCTATGCAGCTGCAGCTCGGAACCGGCCTTTCCTGCCAACTATCCAACTATTGCCGCTCGGCAGCCCAGAGACGGTGTACCCACCCTTCGCTTTTGTTGTGGAAAGGCAGGCTTGATTGAGAACTACATAGTAGAGAGAGCTATGTGTCCCAGCTACAGTTGTTGAAATACCACAAGCGGGTCCTCCTCAGAATTTTGTGAATACCTGCGGCGTTTTCTGCCGGTCTCTTTGGATTGGTCGGGGCCGCAATTCTCTAAGAAACGGGGACTGTCTGGTTGAAATTGAGACCGCAAGACAAACAAACCACCTTCTTTGCCGACGCCGGCTGGACCATATGCGGCTTTGCTTTTTATCTCGCTATCGGCTTCCTAGTAAGGTTATTATGTGTCATGCCGGTGGGAAGTGCATGCAAGAAAAAAAGAAAAAAAAAACTTTTGCGTACTTGATGTTATCAGAGTCCTGGTTTCACCCAAGTGCAAGAAAAGCTATTGTGCCATTGGCTAAATACACAGCAATTCGAGACTGGGATCCACTAGGTCGGGATGCGGGACGGTACTAGTATTGTGGGGCATGCAAGTTAAGCCTTGGATGCAAAAATGTTAATTACCGCTATTGTCAGATTCATTATGTCATAGACCTGAACGACAGCGAGCAGAGCAATAAGAAAGCTGAGAACGGTGAGGGTTCTTTCCCTTCAAAACTGCAGTTATTTCCCAATCAGGCGCTGTCGTCTTCCCCGCTCCTCCTGGCCGGCCAATGCGGAGGTTTCCAACATTAGAGGTGTAGTTACACAACAGAATTGGGCAACGCTCGCATTCCCCCATCGATAAGCTTATCACCATGGAGGGCCACCATGGAGGGGCGCGCTATGTGGGGGGTTCAATAGGGTCTCAATGGGTGAGGAGTAGCTAGCACAAGCAGAAACCCGAACCCCACAGGATAGTACCGTCATGATGGGAATCGGTGTCTACCCGTTTTCCCCCTTCTCTTCTGTTTCCCCTCTTCCAACAACATCTCCTCCTCCTTCCTCCCCCCTCTACTCTTCTCACAACCACTGCTGCCCCCAGTTCAGCTCCCCTCGTCGGCTATCCCAGGACCTAGGGGCGCAAGGCAGGCCCCCCCATCAACTGGCGGAATGGCTCGTCTCAACTTCCTCCGCTCTCCCAAGCTCAACGTCCCCCCTTTCCTCCGAGCCATCCCGGTGCCAGCCCTCCGGCTGATCGGGCTCCTGATAGTCGTCAACCTCGTCGTCTGGGCCGCGTCGGGCGTGGTGCTGCGCTACAACCCCAAGCTGATCAGCTCGGCCGTGCTCTCGTACACGCTCGGCCTCCGGCACGCCCTCGACGCCGACCACATCAGCGCCATCGACCTGATGACGCGCCGCCTGATCGCCGCCGGCCAGCGGCCCGTCTCGGTCGGCACCTTCTTCAGCCTCGGCCACTCCACCATCGTCGTCGTCACCTGCGTCGTCGTCGCCGCCACCTCGGGCGCCCTGCGCGACCGCTTCGACAACTTCCAGCGCGTCGGCGGCATCATCGGCACCAGCGTCTCGGCCGCCTTCCTGCTGCTCCTGTGCGCGGGGAACGGCTGGGTCCTCTGGCGCCTCGTCCGCAGCCTCAAGGAGGAGCTGGCCCTGCAGCGCGCCGTGCGCGACGGGTCCAGCGACGCCGAGGGGGCGGGCGACGACGACGATGATGATGGCGGCCGTGGCGCGGCGGGTCATCTGAGGCTCGAGGCCGCCGGGTGCATGGCCACGGTGTTCCGGAAGGTGTTCAAGATCGTCGATCGCCCCTGGAAGATGTTCCCCCTGGGCGTGCTGTTCGGGCTCGGGTTCGACACGAGCTCCGAGATCGCCATCCTCGGCATCGCGGGTATCCAGGGCGCACAGGGGACGAATATCTGGGTGATATTGATCTTTCCGATTCTGTTTACCGGTAAGTCAAGTCCGCCGCGGAAGACTTGTTAAGGGGTGTGGAGGGGGTTGTCTCTTGCTTTTCGTGCTCTAACCGCGTCTGCAGCCGGCATGTGCCTCCTAGACACCACCGACGGGGCGCTGATGATGGCCCTCTACACGAACAAGGCATTCGCGAGGGACACGGTGGCGATCCTGTACTACTCCATCGTCCTGACCGGCATAACCGTCTTCGTCGCGGCCTTCATCGGCATCATCCAGGTGCTGACCCTGGTGGAGAACGTCGCCGAGCCCGAGGGCTCGTTCTGGGACGGCGTCAGCGCCATCGGCGACCACTTCGAGATCATCGGCGGGAGCATATGCGGCCTGTTCCTGCTGGTCGGCCTCGGCTCCGTCGTCGTCTACAAGCCGTGGCGGAGGAGGATGGACAGGAGAAACAGCGGCGCCGTCGTGGCCTCGGACGAATCAGAGGAGGCCGCGCCCGGCCTTGCCGAGGCTTCGGGTCGCGATAGCGACGGGGCTCTCGGAATCGCGACACCAATAGAAGCGGCAGGGACGGCTCCGGATCGCAAATCGGCCCTGGAGAATATTTCCGAGCGGCCGGCGGCCTAACAAGTCTCAAGGGACTTTTTGACACAATAAACGCGCTGCAGCACGAGCCTTCCTTAACTTGCAGTCGTACTTAAAAGGCCTTATGTAGGTACTCCGTACATATGTAGGCAAAATGCGATGATCATTCGGTCATCACCCCAATCAACCTTGGCCTCGACAGACATCTCCCCTGCTCCTTTAAGGGATAAAGCGACGTCCCCTGCGGAGAACGCAGTCCTGTCCACGCTGGCCAGATATTCCGAGTCTAGGCCATCGGTTTCCCCAAGGGAGAAAGGGGGCCAAAAAGGGAGGGAAAGCCCAGTCCCCACTTCCCGGCCTGCCCCGCCGCGGTTTCGGAATCCGGCGCTATCCGGTCACGGGGATCGCCTCGCTGTTGAGAGGAGGAGCAATCTACCTGGGTTACAGTCAACGAGATATCGCCGGGGGAGAATATAGTGGTGATCTTGCATTAATATCTCTATATATCATTGGCTAGTTCAGGCCCATAGGGAGCTTCTGCTGCGCAGATAGAACGGAGAGGAAATAACCGCATGGTATCCATACTGATCCGAGGAACAAGTCAATATCCGATCTGGTGGTTATCATATTCCAAAACAACCGTAGCCAAGAAACCAGTACAAACGTGCAGGACCAAGCCAATGTCAGTTCTATCCAAGCCAAATAATATACGCAAAAACAGTTCTGATGCCTCTAATTGACCGTTCAGTTGGCGCCTCGTAACGTCGTGTCTGTGTTGTTGGAGTTGTGATCATATGCTGATCGTCATGTGCTCTGTGCGTGTTCTTCTGCGTCCACGCATTATCGTCACCATTCTTTCTAGCAACTTCTCACATCCTCCTCGCCTTCACTGGCAACCCGGTGGGGTTTGCAGCGAGGGGAAAGTTACCAGGGATGTCGAGTAGACTCATGTTCGAGCCTGCCCGCCCCTAGGCCCCCCTCTTCTTCTTCTGCTTCTCCTCGACCTCACTGTCGCCTTCGTACCCTCCCTCGTCCTTGGGCGTCTCGTCCTCCTTCTCCTTGCGGCCCCGCTGCCCTCCCGCGTTCGCCTGCGCGTTGTCGAGATCCGCCTCGCCCTTCTCGCCCATGCCCCCTTCCTCCAGCGCGCCGCCCTCCATGACCACGCGGAGCTCCAGGTCCTCGTCCTTGGAGTAGACCCGGACGCCCACGATGCAGATGGCGTTCCACGGGTCCGGCTCGTTCTCGTCCTCCGTCTCGTCGCCGTACTTGCTCTGGAGCACGGTGCCTGGCGGCGGTGGCGGCTGGGGCATGCGGGGCTTTCGAGTCATGTTGTCGCTGCTGTAGAGCTCCTCCCAATCCTCGATGGGAGATGCAGACGATTCACCGTCGGATGTAACGTACATGTTGGGTCCCTTCTTTGCCGCGGTAGTTCTCGTCCCAGCCTTCGTTGCGGTCTTGCTTGTAGTCGAGGTCGTGGTCGTGGTCGTGGAGACCGTTTTTGTCGTCGATACAGGAGGAGGTGCCCCCGAGACCGTCGACACGTCCGCCGGTGGCACAGGCACCTTGGCCTTGTTTTTCTCGTCTGTGGCTGGTGTCGAGTCCTCACTCTTGGGGGTATCCTTGGGGCTGCCCGAGGCGTCTGAGCTGACGGACGAGACGGCATCACCTGAGCCTTGGATCTCGGCCTTCTCGCCAGGCTTCTCTTCCACCGCCTCCCCTTCTGTCTTCTCACCAGACTTCTCTTCAGCGGCCTCACCATCCGCTTTCTCGCCGGACTTCTCTTCAGTCTCGGTCTTCTCCCCACTCGCCTCTTCCTCCGTCTTCTCCTCCAAAGGGCTCACAGCCGGAGTGTGAATTGGAGTACCCTCGGGCGTCTCGTCGTCATCTTTGGTTTCATCCTCATCCTCGTCCTTGTCCTTAGTCTCCACATCATCTGCCTTCTGCGAGTCGTCTTTGCCAGTGTCGGGCTTTACCTCTTCAGGCTTCTCCTCCTCGGGCTTCTTCTCTTCTTCAGGCTTCTCCTCCTCTTGTTTCTCTTCAGTCTGCACGCCTACATCCTTGGGCTTCAGGTCCTCTTCCCTCTTCCGCTTCTCTTCGCGCGCGGCGTTCTTTTCCTCGAGCTTCTTGTTATTCTTCCGGCCCTGCTTCTTGTTGATCTCCCGAGTCACGTGCCTCTTCTCCCAGAGCCGGTGACGCTCCTTCTTACGGGAATCACTGGCCTTCTTCTGGTCGGATTTCTTTCGCAGGGCGGCAACGGCTTCGAGATGGGCGGTGGCCTTGCTGTGGGCCAGGTCATAGGCGTAACCGACCTGGGCGAACTTCTCGTTCTCGACTCGCTTCTTGCACTCGCGCTTGACCACTTCTTCGATGCTGGACACGCCCGTGTCTCGCTCGCCGACTATGCTGATGAACACGCTGTATTCGCCCGGGAGCATGCTTGGGAGCTCAATTGAGACTGAGCGGTCCATCAGATAGTTCCCATGGGAGCGTACGATATAGTCCTCGGCACCAGGCCGATCTCGCTCGTGAAGCCGGAAATGGAGACGGAACCTATATTGACCATGGAGGCCCTTGAAGTAGCGGTTGTCGAGTTGCGAGAGGACAAGTACCATGGGTGACTCGCGGGTCAGCTTGATCTGGAACTTCTCGTTGAACTGGGGTTTCCAAGGCACGTCAACGCCGATCCAGCGCTGGGAGCAACGCCAATCCGGGTCGCGGAAGAGGCGCGTGCGGTCAAAATGCTGGTACTTGCGCAGCAGATCGTCGTACGAGATCCAGAAGACGCTGTCACCTCCGAAGTTGTGGCCGAGCTCTTCCTGAACCTCCGCCGTCCACTCCTTCGAGCCGTCTGACCATGCACCTTCCCATATACCTTTCTTGGTCTTTCCCCAGGGGTTCCTATTCTTGACGTCAGCCATTGCAAATTCGGGGGGATGGTCGATACGCCTTACCTAAGCTTAAGGAGCCGAGTGCCATCCTTTAGTGTCCTCGCCTCCATAATCACGTAGGCATGGCCTTCCGAAATGCCGTCTCGGTCGCCATATCCCCCATCGAGGAGACCCGTACTGCAGCCAAAGAGGAACTCTCCGTTCACTCTGCTCAGTTCGTTCTCCCAGAATCCGTCGAGATCCAAGATGTCCGAGGCAAGCAGCTCAGTTGTGACACCGCCTGTGAGATCTTCCAAACCCTCGCCTATCCAGCCACCCGATAGAGAGGCGTAATCGCCGTGTGCTTTGGCGTAAGCCTTCTCAATCAGGGGCACCCATGTCTCATTCTGGTCCTTGCACTGGGCGAAGAAAAGCGCCTTTGACCCTGTCTGGTACGTCTGGCGGTAAACACGCTCAACGTCTTCGCGGTCAATCTGCTGGAGCAAGTCACGCTGCATGCTGGGTGAGTCCCAGCAGGGTGATTTGAGGTACAACTTGTCGTCGATGATGGAGTATATCCATTCGCCATCTGATGCGGGAGGGAAGGTTAGCAGATAATAAAGACGGAAGGACCTGCCCAAGGAATATTCTACTTACCGCGGCAAAAGACGAATCCGTAGATGCCAATCCTAGTGTCGTACTCGACACAGATCCGCTTGAGGCCGTCCTCGACATTCGCAAGGCCAGAAAGGCTGGCGATAAGCCAGCAGTCGCCCAAGCTGCCTTGTTTAACATCGGAGCCACTCAGGTTCTCCATGAACTTGGGCTTCTCGAATATCTCATGGACGCGCTTCACGGCCTTGGGAACAAGGGAATTGGGGTTCATCAGAACGGACTGGCTGAGATCGAACTTGGTACGGCCCAGGCTGTTTAGACAATGTCCTTTCTCCATCTTGAGATCCCAGTCCTATATTTCAGTCCAAAGAGTCAGTCACTGCGCCCATTGGCCGGAGTTATTGGACAACTGCGTTGCTCGACACTCACCAGATCCCATCCGGGGTCCCTGTACCGCATATTTACTCGGCGACACTCCTGGATGATTTTCTTGACCTTGCGGCGGCATTCCTCGGCCGCCCGCTCGTATCCGGCGCTGAACAGCTCATTGGCGTGGTCAGAGGCGGTCGACGGTGGAACGGGGTCAAAGGGCAACACAGCCAATGCCTTGTTGAACTTCTTGTTGCTGAAGCGTTTCCAGACACGGTTGATGCTCTGCTGCGGGGGCAGCTTGCGCTTCTTTTTCTTGTTCTTCGCATCGGTCGAGGTGGTGGTCGCGGGGACTGGCTGCCGCCTCCGGCGGTAGTCGTCGTCGGATTCTGAGGAAGAGGAGTAGCCGTGCATGGTGGTCCGTATTTGGAGAGAAGCTCTATCCCCAGGTGGAGAGCAGGTATGGCGAAACGAGTGCTGAAGTGGGATTAGAACCTAGGTTGGAGGACGACGAGAACGAGGGCGTCGTCGACGACTGAGGTAGCCGGGAAGGGGGGACGAGGGAGGGAGGCGGAGGTCAAGCTACAGGAAAGGAGAGTCAGCGGAGTCGGATGAAGAAGGGGGCTCATTTAAAGGAGTGTCCGAGGGTTAGACTTTACCTAGCTTCGCCGTGCCGAGTGGCGGAGGAGGACCAATAGTTCTAGACGGGATCGGCACAAAAACCGGCCCCTGAAGTTCCGAGAGGTAGGAACCCTTCAAGAGTATATGAACGTATTTTAGCTTGACCGCCCAACGAAAGACTGACTGTATGGCGGCGGGTCGATGGAGGGACGGAAGGGAGAAGCAAAAGGAGGGAAAGTTGCCAATGTTGCCCAGCTCAAGATACGCCATCCGTATATAGGTAATGGAGGAAGCCTCAAGCTGACCGTTGATCACCCCCGGCACCCCCGCAGGCAGGGGAGACAAGGGGGGACGGCCACTCACCGACAATGAGGCTTGAGTCAGCCATTGAAGTTCGGGCGTTCGCCTCCATTTGCGTGATTGGTTCTAGAGGCACCCTTGTTCTCCATGCTCCCATGTTGGTGGTCACAATAGGCAATAGCCCAGGCTGTGCCTGGCTTGCAGCTGAGTCGGGAATATTAATGAGTAGGCGCTAGGTCGGTAGCCGGACCCCTGGTTGGGGGGGTGGAAGAAGGGTTCAGGGTGACAGAAGGGCTCCAGAAGCCCCGAAGTCCAGGAAGTCCCCGAAGTGGCGGCCCAGTGGGTCTAGCGCCCAGCCTCGTGCCCCAAGCGCGTGCCTTCCAGGCTCCATCCTGTTACTGCGTCCTGTGTAGGCACTAATGGCAATTTTGACGCCGTCCCGAGTGCAAATCCAAAATCTGTCTGTTTGAACATGGAAATTGACAACGTCGTGTGATGGCGCTGTGCCACGATATCCGATGATCCATCTGGGGTTCATCATGCGCGCGTGTCTTCCATTCGTTGGCTTTTGAGATGGTACTTGGGGCGGCAGTAACCCCACACAAATGGTGGGGCTCTGCCTGGCGCTGGAATCTGGATTGCGAATCGCAGCTCTGCTTGTCTGCTTACGTGGTGGGGGAGGAGTCGCTCGGCTGCGGGCCAGATGGGTATCCAAAGTCAGGTGGAGATCTTCAAATTCGGATTCGCCATTCTTCAAGCGATTACCCCCCTCCGTTCCGCATGATCCCAGTCATCCCCTCGCTGATATCTGCACGGAGTGCCTCCGTACCTTTCGAGCCACTTGGCATAAATGTTCGGCAAGTAGGGGACGGAATTTAACGACGGTCGATTACACGACTCGGGACGAGGTGGCATCCATAATGCTGCTCCTAGTGGGTTTCTCGCGATCAACAGGGTCCATTTTTAGCGGCTCATCCTGTTGCCTCCAGGCTGCCACACCATCCAAGTCCGTCCTGAGTCAACGAGCCAACACGGGGAGTGATGTGCCGTTAGCCCCGACCCTCCATCAGGAATTTCGTTATCAGCCTCACAATGCCAGGGAGCCTGACCGCCTTATCGTGGAGCCAACTTGGAGCCGAAAATGGGCCTCGTGAAGCAACCCCAGAATCGCCACAATGAAGCAACAAGACGCACCAGACCATGCCGACAGCCTTCCCGTGTCTCGTGTCCTATGCTACGCCTTTTCTCGCTCTTTAATTTCTCGAGAACCCAGCGCATTTTGCGCCTGTCGTCTCCGATTATCTCCCTTTTACAGCACCTTGCAGGATGCGGTGTGACTCGACCACCGGACGAATGTGATGAACCACATCAAGGCCTTGTGTAATAAGGGGATAGGTCTAATAGTCAGTGTGCCTAGACATTTGACCACCTGTCATTCCGCCGCTTCGCCCTGGCCATACTCGTAGTTCCTTTTTCCTCTCCGTTTTTCCTTTTTTTTTTCCTTCTTTCCCCGTTTGACCGCCCCAGAGAAGAAAAGTTAAAACTGGACCATCGCCGCGACCCACAATTGCGGCGTGTCCGTGCCTAGGTTTGCACCTCCGATTTCGGCCTCCGTGCCGACCTAGACTCCGAGTTGCCGGTGCCCATTCGAATTCTGGAGCAGTATCAAAAGCAGAGATATGAGAGGCCAATGGGAAAAAGTTGCATTTTCTACGGAGCACGACTTCCAATGGTCAAGTGCTGAATAGCAACTAGCGAATCGATGATCTACAAATGCAACATCAGCCCTTGTTCCTCCTGCCAAATCAAGAACAAGCCAGAACGATGATTTCGACTTGTCGGCAGGCCGGTCAACCGGTCTGTCTGATACGGCCCCGATCATCTGCTGACCAGCTTCTTGCCGTGCCTGAGGACTGTCTGACGGGTATCAACACCTAAACCTGAACATATCTTCAATTAGCAACCGCCTCTCTCAAATTGAACACCACATCTCCGATGCTTCCCGTTGATAAACGTGACACGGTACCTATGTTGGTTTCTCGGGCCCTCCTATTCTCCTATACACAGATCCCTTTGGTTCGCGCCTCGTATCGTCCAATGTTTACCTTCCTCCCCCGACGACTCCTGAATTTCAGTTCAAGAGAAACTCTTCTTCGCTGAAATTCTAGAACACTTTCTCGGGCAGTTACTTGATCGACACCAGGGATTCTCCACGTTTGTCAATGTCGCGCAACTCTAAAACCCAAAAATGCTGGTTAACACTTAGATGGAAGTAATGATTCAAGTTTTGGCACAGTATATTGCAGATTCTGGAAAGCAATTAAGCTCCTTCAATAGAGCTTCAACCCGTTCTCGTCTTGGAATGCGAAATAAATCCCACTGATTCCGAATGCGGTTGACCTAGAGGGGCCGGGTGACTAAGCACACGCGCCAAACATTCCCCGGATCGCCCCAGTTCCAACACACTTGCCGGTGGAGGTCAAACGACCCCACACGGCAGAGACGTGGTCCCCGACAAACACCTTTCGCGTTTCCAAAAACAACACTTGTCGAACATCACGAAGACGCGCAAGTTGTTCGACTTAGCAATCCACCCAATTCTTCGAGTCGCACCTCCCTTAGGCCCCCCCTCCCCTCCCCCTTTCACGAAAACAACCCCAAGTAAACCAGAAACCCACAATGGTCTCCACGCGCTCCTCCTCAGGCGCGCTACCCCCAGCCCCGGCCGCCCCAACCAAGACCCCGCGCAAGCCCGGCAGCGGGCGACCGCCGTCGTCGCGCAAGTCCGCCTCCTCCTCCTCCTCCCCGGCCGGGTGGTCGCACACGCCCAGCACGCTAACGCTCCTGTGGCTGGGCGTGTCCCTGCCGCTGGTGGCGTGGGACACGGGGTACGTGCTCCTGCGCCCGCGGTCGATGCCGGGCGGCAGCCTGCACTGGCCGCTGTGGGCGCCGTACGCGCTGTACGGCCAGGTCGACCACATGTACGGGCTCAAGCAGTGGAGCGCCGGGAACGGCTTCACGGCCGCCCAGGGAACCCTCAACCTCGTCGAGTCGGCCCTGTACGCCGCGTACCTGTGGCTGTGGTACTCGCGCGCCGTGGGGGGCGGGGCGGGGGGCGGGAGGAGGGCGCTGGTGGGTAGGGCCGGGGGGTTGGCTTTGGTGGTTGGGTTTAGCGCGGCCGTCATGACGCTTAGCAAGACGGTGTTGTATTGTGAGTTTTTCCTCTTCCGCCCGGTTCTGGGGCCCTACTGCTGGCGGGGTGGGAGATGGGGATGGGGATGGGTTGTAGCGCGGCGGGGTTCGGATAATTGGCGACTAATATCTGGGATATTGCAGGGCTGAACGAGTACTTCTCGAGTTACGATAACATTGGGCATAACAACCTGGTGCAGCTGATCTTCTTGTGGATCATCCCGAAGTGAGTCTGCCTCTCCATCTTGCCCCCCCCCCCGACCCAACATCCCGCTATCAGCCACGACCCCGCTGCGCTCTGGATGCTTCGTATGTGTGTGACTCGCCAGCTGACAGCCGTCCACAGCGGCGCATGGCTTCTCTTCCCGACATTCATGATCATCGGAATGGGATCCGACATCATTGAAGGGCTGGCGGCCGCCTCTGAAGCGGGCGTCAAGAGTGAGTAAGGGCATCGAAGGCGTGAGGCTGTCCAGGCGATGGCGCGAAACGGAGTGTAATGGGATGGCGGCACGTGCCCGTAATGCTTGTACATACCATGTCTGATGATGGGCACGATAGTGGATCTATGCCGTGTCGGTTGGAATGACTTTGAATAGGACGAATACGAGTGCAGCGCGTATTTGTGCGTTGCGTGAACCTTCAAAAGTAGCCTCCATGGGTGCATTTCCATGCACGAAGCTGCACCTGTCACCTGGTCGTATCGGGCCGAGCGAATAAGGTTGGATGATCGGCTGTTCGATGCTGGTGCGATTGACTTTCCACGTTATGAGGGGTGGGAGATGGGATCGATGTAGACAGGCATCAGGTGAAAGCCAAGCTCGACGTTAAACAGATGGAAACTCGGATTACAAGCTTTTGTATCTATCCCAACAGAAAGTTGCCCGTAAAAGTGGAATCCCCGATTAAGAATCCGTTCCTGGTGTTGACGCCGCTGGCAGCAAGGTCAATGCAGAGTCACGATAGAGGCGTGCTGCATATCAAGGCACATCCCTTGAATATATGAGTGTTTCTCCGGTAGCCAGCCAGCCAGCCGGCCGGCCTACTTGCCAGCCCGAAACAAATCCGCAGGCATAAAGAAGGGAGAAGGAAATCCTCATTATGATATCCATACAACGTGCTCAACTTATCAGCGCGTACCGAGATTGCCCTCTGGGATCAGCCACGGTAGAAGAGAGACAGACGCCAATTCTCCCCTAGAGACCTGGCAAATCTTCACCCCCGCTCCCAGCCTCCTTCCTAATCCTCAGCGGTGAGGGGTGCAGATCCCCAGCCCCGACCCCGGCCCCGGCCCCAACATCGCCGACCATCAGCACCATGCTCCCGCGCGCAGAGTTGCGCTGCGGCAGCAGCGGCGGAGGCGACGGCGACAGCGACGGGACAACCGGGTGCGTGGGTTCGTCCGTCGAGTACACGCTGCTGGAGCAGGACGCGGGCCCCCGGGCGCGGAACATCTGAGTGTCGTCGAGCACGCGCCGCCGTGCCGGGATGAGCGGGCCGGCCGAGGAGGAGGCGGCATCGGACGATGGGGAGGACGGGGAGGGGGAGGCGCAGGTCCAGCTGACGGGCGAGTACTCGGTTCGGGGCGTCGTCGTCGTGTCGCCGGTGGCGCTGCCGGATGTGGTCCAGCAGGCGCTGCTGGTGGCTGTGGCGGGGGTGTGGGGCGAGAAGGACGAGGAGGGGGACGGGGGAGATGGGGAGAATGAGAAGGCGCTGGAGCGGCGTGGGGGAGTCGCCGGGTCGCCAGGGGTGTCCCCGGTGGGTTGCTCCTCCCCGACCCGGACGTCGTTGGTGCCGTTGCCGTAGCCGTGCACCACGATCTCGTGGTAGACTGGCCGTCGGGCACTGGCCTGAAGCGGCGAGTAGGAGGCGTTGCCCTTCAGCCAGGCTATCGAGGATCTGAAGCTGGCGGGTTGGGCGAGACGGCTTATCAGACTTCCGGTGCGGGAAATCCCTCTTGCCGAGGACGCGCGTATCGACGATAGTGTCCTGCGGGGAGAGTGTTTGCTGTGCTGCGCAAGGCCTGGGGGGTCGGAATCATATTTACTCTCCGTGATCATGATTACCGGGGTCGACCGACAGGAGAAAGTCGAGCTGGCAACACGGGAGAGGGGGCTGGTGACACGAGAGAGGGGTGTGGCAACACGAGAGATAGGGGTGGTAACAAGGGAGACGGGGGTGGCAGCATGAGAAAGCGGGCTGGCAGCTCGGGAGAGGGGCGGCATGATGGACAAGTTCGTCGGGGAAAAGATGGATCTGGGGCGGAGTGACGAGAAGCGGTGCCCTTCCTTCCAAGGAGGCAGGTTGGCGGTCGACACGGCTAAGCTGTAGTTGACAACTGACGTGTCTCGGACCTCGGGTGGCGCATCCGTACAGCTTCGCAGCATCTGGAGGATCCCGTAGATCAGAATCCATCGGATCTTCCGGCCCTCAACATGTGAGAGCTTCTGGTTCCTGTCAAACTTTCTCCGGGTGTAGACCGAGTCTTCTTCGAACCGTTTGTAGGCAACAACGAGGTGATTTTGCACCAGTCTGAACTTCTCCTTGTTCGAGGCCTTAATTAGGGCTGCGTGAGCGACAAGCCGCTGATCCGGTCGCAACTTATCCCGTCTGCTGAAGGGGAACAGCGTCCTGGAGGTTGGTGCTGTTATCTGGGGGAGGAGGGGCAGCGGGTGAAGCAGTGACATATACCTGTGACGGATGTCAAAGGCGTTGACACAGTGCAGGACAGTGATGCCGCGTTCGGCAAGGAATGGGCTGCTCCCTGCTATCGTGAAGGTCTCGTCAACGAGATACTCATAAAGAGCCTCAAAGTCTGCCCTCATCAGCCGGTGCACCTCTGGATCCCACATGGTGCTTCTTGCTTCCACGGGCGCTGGCGGATAATGTCCCAGCGAGGCAGTGTAGAAAGCAAGCAGGAAGGCCCGGAAGCGTTGGAGATGGACTCCGCCCGCAGCGGACAAGTCGAGGTTAGTTGCCGAGAGCTCATCTTCGAGGAAGTCCGACAACACCAGAGCAGTTTGGCTGAGTTTAGAGTCCATGTCTGCCTTTGCGCTTCGGACTAACTTCCGGGTAACTGAGCTTAGGATCTGGGATCGGTCAATAAGCGGCATATCCCCTAGGCGATGCTCGGCGAGGAAAAGGAATAAACCAACCTGATACTCATTGCAGGTGTACAACTGCTCGCCCATACCGACGCAATGGGCAAATGCATCAATGTAGAGGTCCTTCAACTGGAAGGTCTCGGCGAGATGGAGCATCGCAAGTGCATGGTTCGGATGGTTGGTGATGTCCAAATAGCCCTCCTGGTCGAGGTAGCTCATCGTGTCCTCGACAATGTCGACGCCCGGACTTCGGAACTCGGACATGCTGTTCACAAGCTCGATCAGGGCGCTGCCGAGGTGTTCTCCAACCATGGACCTCCGGTAGACCCAGGCGAAGAAGTTGCGCATTGCCAGGCGGAACTGGAGAGCCTGGTCCTGATCTGCCATTGGCGGTGGCGGGATGTAAAGGTCAACCCTACCGACCAGGAGCTCATGGCCGACATGCTCCAGCTCGGAGGCATCCGATTCTGGTAAGTCTCGAGACAGATACTTGTTGATGAGAGGCTGGCATCTGGCGTCCAGAAGAGGGCCCAAAGGGACCTTGAAAGCTGGCCCTCTTCGCGACTGGCCCTTGCCATATAGATGTACGAAGCAATTGCCATCCCTATACCACAGTTCGGGATCCTGAGGATCCATGTCAGTCATGTTGGGACACATGCTGGACAGTGGGCGCTTCATGGTTCTATCCAAGGCCAAAGCGTGGGGGACTCACCTTTCTTAGACTGTCCCAAGCAGTGCACGTCCTCGCCGCGCCGTCCCATCTCTTGACATGCCGGTGCTGTGGGATCCGTCCTTCCATGAAGTCTCCGAGCTTTCTCAATTTCCAGCCGAGCGAACGACTTGTGATGCCGTTGTATGGCGTCGAGGCCATCGGGCCAGCCATAGGTGCCGACAGAGGTGTCAACTGACAAGGCGCTGACTCGGAAGGGCCTCCTGGGCCTGCCATAGTCTTTCTATAGTGTGCCGCTCTGAGATGGTGGTTGGGTTCAGGTAGAGGCTGAGATGGAGACACAAAAGGGGGACACAAACGGGAGACAGAAGAGGGGTCTTTAGGAGCAGTGCTGTCGTAGTACAACTTTCATCTGAAATGTGAGGAGTTCCTCAGACTCGATGTCTGTGGTCTATGGTTGCATCTGGAGTAGGATAAGAAAGAAGGAACGAAGTTTCTCTTCCAGGAGAAAGCAGCCTGTGGACGTTATGGCATAACCTCAAACCTACATTGCATCTTAGTGCCGGCAGAAGAGCCACGGAGACCTCCACTGAGTCCGGGTAGACTGTAGACGGCGTAAAACCAAGTCCCCACGGCTGGGGACATATCTCTGGGCCAAGGATCGCCATCCAGGAACGCCATGATGGAAGGGGGGGGTGCACTTGCATGGTTCGGGCTTGGTCTGGACCAGGATCCAGCCAGTGGAGAATCCAGACACTAGTGTAGGTGCAGTGTGCCTGGAAAAGTCTGTTTCTTGTTCGGTGCCGTTCCCGATGCTAAGGGGAGAAACGCCCAGGGAAGTCCCTGTAAGTCTGGCCAAAGAAACGAACTAGCGCAGATCTATTCCGCAGGAACAACGTGGTGGCGAGTCAGGCTAGTCATCAGAGACATGCAGGCATTATCACGCACTTCCTCAACGACGCAGCAATCTGCAGCCTGGTAAAGACGATTGGGGTGGTCTTCGGGAGACTTCCAGGTTTTCAGGCTCGCGGCCGAAGTCTGCTCTGATGAGGGGGTTCACCGTCTTGCTGCATGCGTCGGCGTTCTCGTGCAGACGTGCAGATGCTGGCACATTGATCCTCAGTATTATATGCTGTCTGGAAAAAGCCTTTGCAGCCAAGAAATGTCGAGCTGTGATCGGGACGCCACCGAGGCTGGGACTTGCACTTGTACAACACCCACGAAGCGCAACGGGCAGCAGGCCCATCCAGAGCCATTGTCTGAGGATCCAATAAACATTGCCGTCTCATCTCGGGCTGTATCAACGGTGCAACTTTGGGGAGGTTGGCGGGTATGCAGGACAGCTGGGAAGTTCCCCGAGGTCAAGGCAGCTTCCCGACCGACATCACCTCAGACTCCGCGCCTCTCGGGTGATTTCAAATTTTAGGTTTCCGTTATCACATGGCCTTTGCGTTCATCCCATCTGTAGATCTGTAGAGCATATATCACATCTGATATATCGCAGCTGTAGGTTGGCAGCTTACATCTCAACTGGCCTCGAAAGTCACCGGCCCGCTCCCTCCTCTGGTCCCTCCTTCCTTGATCGTGTGCGCTCTCAACTACGGGGCTGACTGTTTCACAGCGTAACCTTGTCTGACTTTGCAACTGGAGAATCCTTCTGCAAAGTTCACTGGCTCGCCGTCTCATTCCATAGCGGTGAGTTGCAACAATCGAAACACATAACAAAGAATCCAAAGATGCAGGATGGTTGATGGAGCCAGCCCTTGACTTGGTTGAATCTGAAAATGGGTGGATTCCAGGTGGCCCAGGCTGTTGGCCGGATTGGGAGTAGCTCCGACCCACCAGAACACCACACCGCCCGGCAGTTTATCAGATTAGGTCCCAGTTTGGTATCAAACACCAAGAAACCAATGGATATCAGCGCCGTCAGCCCTTAGGTACCTACATGGCATCTCGTTCGTAACTTTCGAGGCGGCTTCCTTCCAGACATGCCGCGCCAACGATGGCTCTCGTGACCCCGTACACCTTCATCCAATGCCCCTGCTCCGACCTGTCCTCCCAAGGAGAGCCAGTCGCAGGTTCTCTCACAGAGACCGAGCATGACGACGACGATCGCACCTTTGACCCGCGGGCCCCGCGCTCTAATTACAGCTTGTACCCCCTAGAATATCTGCTGTACTGTGAAGATTGCCACCAGATCCGATGTCCCCGCTGTGTTGCCGAGGAAATTGTCACATACTATTGCCCCAGCTGTCTGTTTGAGGTGCCGGCCAGCAACCTCAAGAGCGAGGGCAACAGGTACGATTTCAGAGACGCCATACAGACCATGTCAGGATTTTGTGTTAGAACCATGCGCTAACATGATTGTGTGTCCAGATGCACGCGCAGTTGCTTCCAATGCCCCCTCTGCATCGGCCCCCTCTCCGTGACCAGCCTCGAGGCAGCTCCAGACCCCAGCCTTCTTACCGCTGACAACGCATCTGCGCCGTCAGGCCCCTACATCTTGGCTTGCTCCTACTGCAACTGGAGCAGCACCGAGATCGGCATCAAGTTCGACAAACCCAATGGTATCTACGCACAGCTACAGAAGCTCCGCAACGGGGGCCACGCGCGCCTGACGGCCAAGGAACGCAAGGAGCGCCGGAAAGAGGCCGGCCAGGGAACTGCCTCGACCCAATCGGAGACGGCGAAGAATGAGACCCTCGATGTGGAGACGCAGTTCGAGAACCTGAAGGCATTCCACCAGAGCCAGCTATCCGAAGCCAGCTCCGTCGCCACGGGGCTCTCCTCTCTCGGCGACCTGGGCATCTCATCCCCAGGCTCCCTGGCGCGCATAATGAGCCTCTACTCGGGCGACAGCCTGCACAGCAAGAAGAACAAGGCCCGGGCAGGCCCCATGCGCGAAGCCCTCGACAGCGACGAGGGCCTGCAGGTGGTCGATCTGGACGAGAGCGGCGCCATCGAGGCCCTCCGCGCGGCCGGGTGGGAGGGCACCAACTCGACCGAGCAGCTGGCCGCGCAGGGCGGGAACCCACTGGGGGAGCCGCCGCTGTACGGGCGCACCCGGCTGGCCTCGGAGCTGCGGCCCGTGCCCGTGCTCCTGCGCACCAAGCGCTCCAAGCGCTGCCCCGTCTGCCGGCACATCATCAGCAAGCCCGAGGCCAAGGTGCTGAGCACGCGCTTCCGCATCCGCCTCGTCGCCGGCAGCTACATCCCCAGCATCTCCATCCGGCCCCTCGGCGCTCCTCCTCCTACGACCTCCTCCTCTGCCGCCGCCGCCGCAGCTGCTGCCGCTGCTGCTTCCGGGGTCCTACAGCCGCTCAAGCCGGTGCAGTACCTCCTCACCTTCAAGAACCCCATCTTCGAGTCCGTCAAGGTGACCCTCGCCACGCCCGCCGCGACGCCCGGGCGCTTCGCCAGCAAGGTGACGGTGCTATGCCCGCAGTTCGACATCGACGCCAACACGGACGTGTGGGACGAGGCCCTCAAGGATGGCGAGCGGGACCGGGACGCGCGGCGCGGCGGCACCGGCACCGTTGCCGCTGCCGCTGCCGGCCAGCTTCACCACCGCCACCCGCACGGCCACCAGGCCGAGGCCGGCAAGATCTGGGAGCGTGGCCGCAACTGGGTGAGCATCGTCGTCGAGGTCGTGCCCGCGTCGCTGCGGGCGCTCGGGGGCGGCGGTGGCGGTGATGATGCCTCGCCGCCGAGGGAGGGCGAGGATCTGCTGGAGATACCCATGTTTGTGCGGGTCGAGTGGGAGGTGGACACCGGCGGCGACGAGGTTGGCAGCACGCCGGCCGTGGCGGGGGCGGGCAGGGACAAGGATAACACCAAGGAGAGGCGGGAACTTGCGTACTGGTGCGTGCTTGGGATTGGGCGCATTAGCCAGGAGTAACTTGGTTGGAACTATGTACTACGTTGTTGGTAGGTACGATAAATACGATACCCCTTCTAAAAAATACTTGGAATTACTGCGTATCATTTGGGAGATGCCATTGAGGGCAGATCACGCGCACATACGGAGGCTGGTAAAATGATGGATTGTGCTCTGATGCCAGAATCAAGCTTGCATTATCATGAACAAGCTATCTAGACGCCGTTCCCTTTTGTTTTTTTGGCAAAACCTTGAATGCATTGCGAAAAAAAGACCCCGAACCCAGTCCTCAAAGCCACAAGGTCCCCCATGCACCACCAGCCCACAGGTCCCAAACTCTAGTAGTCGGAGGCACCAGCCTGGGGGAACTCGAACACAACGCCGCGGCCGGTCAGCCGTCGGTAGACCTCGGTGTAGGTGTCGAGTCTGTAGTCGACGCCGCCGCGCTCTTTCTCGTCCAGGATGACCTTGAGGGTCTTGGAGCCGTCCTCCTTGGTGCGGAGGCGCTTGCCGACGATCTCGACGGGGTAGACGAGGTCGGTGAGGATGGCGTCGTGGACGGCGGTGAGGGTCCGCGAGCGCGGGCGCTGCTGCTTCTGCGTGTTGCGCGACCGGGCCGAGCGCTTGGGCTTCGGGAGGATGCGCCGCGAGGCCAGGATCAGGACGTGGCGGTCCGAGAACTTCTTCTCGAGCTCACGGGTGAGACTGTGCATTGGGGGAGGATGGGTTAGCTCGGACGGTCGATTACGGGTGGTTTGACACGGGTTTTCTCTCCCTCTCTTCTCGTTTCTTCTTTTGGGGGCAAGGGGGATAGAATAGACATACCGCTGCTGGACTCGGTGGAAGCCCTGGAGTGAAGGGACGGGGACAAAGATGACAATTGCCTTCTTGCCGTGGCCAACTTCGATCTATTTCCAAGACCAAAAGTCAGCATGCGAGCTCCTGGATTTGTTCCAATCCTCGGACCGCTTCCCGTCCTATTCCACGAGCCGTCATTGTTTATTTGATGTGATTATGGTTGTTGAGCGGCCAAAGGCACCGAAGCACCGGCCGGTCGCTCGCCTTCCCATGTTCGATCAATTTCCCAATTGTAACACTCGTCGTGTGCGGCGAGAGGATTCAAGGTCGGCTCCCTCCGGCACTCGGTGGAACAGGATTTCGGATGGGCATCGCGGATCCCCAGATCGGGGGCGGATTTCTCCTGGCTTCAGCGGTTTATCTCACCTCCCGGGCAGTGACGAACTGCAGAGGCCGCAGGGCGACCTTGAGGTCGGCAGTGTTGGTCTCGAGATCGTACAGAGCGCCAGCAATGCTGGTCTCCAGCTCGGACGGGTTCTGGCGCGACGGGCTGTTGGCCGCGATCTTGTTGAGCTGAGGAGCACTCATGATTGCGGTTGGTGAGGTTGTCGATGAGGAGTGTTCGGGAGGGGAGGTCGCTTTCTCGTTTTTGAAAAGAGTACAAACTCCGAGCTTTTGGGATCTCGCTAAATTGGGGCTTGCTAGCCCTTAATTTTTTTTCGTGATTGCAGGACAGGTGGGGACGTGCTGCCTCATCATGTGACTTGGAGAGGCCCGTCCCCGCCTAGCGCCAAGCCCTCGTTGATTGGTCAATGCCAAAGAGGTTCTCAGGAAAAGGGAGGATTGCCTCTCTCTCTACTGCCCAGCTCGCCCAATACCTATCATCTTCGCCGAGTTCTTCAATCTCGACTTTCTAATATCTTCGTCCTTGCCGCCATGGCACCTACCAAGGAACCCCCAGCTTCAACGCCATCAAAGCCATCATCGCTGGCATTTTCGCTCCCGTTCTTATACCGCGTCTTCTTCCTCTTCATCGAACCAGTCTCGGTCCTCGTCGGCGCCTATTACTCCCACTTTAATCAACATGAATACCTGAAGCTCACCCACGCGGCATCTGCGCCTTCTCTGATCCCGCTCGGGACCACCATCGCCATGTCGCAGCTCGCCAACATGTACCTCTTCTTTGCACTCAACGAGGCTCTTGTTTTGAGATGTACCGCCGACATCCGGGTATGGAAGGCGGTCCTCTTCTGCCTCCTTGTTGGAGACTTTGGCCACCTCTACACGGTTCGCCATTTGGGTCCCGAAATATACTGGAGTGTCACCAAATGGAACGCGATCGACTGGGGGAACATCCCTTTCGTCTATCTTGGCGCAACCATGAGGCTCGCTTTCCTGGCTGATGTCGGTCTCGGAGTAAAACGCCGGAAGCTGACAAAGAAGAGAACAGCTTGAGTTGCAACCTGGAAGCCCATAGATGGCTTGGATGGGTGGGTATTCAGCATACCAATCAATGTTTTGGCGAACTCGGCATTGGTGACGGCACTAGTGTGTTATTTCATGATGACGTCGCACTTGTTTGGTTCCCTACATCCGTGGCTCGTCCGTCACAAGATATACATGGGCTTATATGTCTTACTTTCTTATTACTATCTACCTTATATTTCTCCCAATAACCTTGGAAACTGTGAACGGACAGCGCAATGGCAGCTTCAGGAGAATGGCTGTTTCCGGCCAACCCACCGGCGCTGAAGCCAGTAATCTCCCACGGCTTACCCTTCCAGGACGCATGTGTCCACCACTCTCAAGACTCCTTTCGAGCGTCGCGCATCTACGTTGTGGTATCCTCGTCGATCAGCAAGACCGAGAACTTCAAAACCCTACAATCAGCCCTTGGCGACCGCGTTGCTGGCGTCCGCTACGGTTTCCGGCCACACACACCTTGGGATGATGTCCTAGAAGTCGCCCGGGACCTTGGAACCATCAATCCGGATCTCATCATCACGTTGGGCGCGGGATCCATCACCGACGGCATCAAGGTTGCATCGTTTGCTTACTCGAACGGGGCCTTGACAACCGAGGATTTGGAGCAGTTAGCAGTGAAGACCGAGAAGCAATCCGGCACGGAATCAGACACGGCATCAGAAATCCAAGCCTGCCGAATCCCCGTCATCAACGTCCCGACATCCCTGTCTGGGGGGGAGTACACGGCGATTGGTGGAGCTACAGACACTCGAAACGGCCACAAAGCGACATTCCGCCACCCTTCCATGATGGCCAGCTTGGTGGTGCTCGACCCACGGCTGTGCACCTCAACGCCAGAGAGGGTCTGGCTCTCATCGGGCGTCAGAGCTGTCGACCACTGCGTCGAAGGTATCAGCGGGACTGCTTCAGGCGAAGCAGATGAGGAGCGCAAGCTTCTAGAACACAGTCTCCGTACATTGCTTCCAAATCTCCTCGCGACAAAGGCAAACCCTGGCGACCTACAGGCCCGTGTTCAATCGATGCTGGCTGTGCCCCCGTGTCTCCAAGCTCTCGATATGGGCCTCGGCGCGAGCCACGGCATTGGCCACCAACTGGGCCCCCTCGGTGTCGGGCACGGAGAGACGAGCTGTGTTTTGCTCCCGGTTGTCCTGAAGTTCAATTACCTCCACGGTGACGCAGAGGCTAGATCGCGACAGAAGCGGGTATGGGAGGTCTTCTGGAGTGACCCGACCGTGTCAGAAGTATTGATGGGCCAGGGGCTGACCAAGGAAGACTCGGATACCGGCGATGTGGTGGGGGCATTCATCAAGGCGCTTGGGATGCCCACAAGTCTAAGAGCTGTCGGCGTTGGCCGTGAGAAGTTCGACTCGCTTGCCGACAATGCTCTCAAGGATTTCTGCACCCAATCCAACCCCGTGGCCCTTGACAAGAAGGGCGTCTTGGAGATACTCGAGATGGCAGCAGCGGACTGACCGGCTACGGACGGGGCTGCGTTCACACCCGATCTCGGTCGCCACCGAATTGTCCCTTCTTCCAGTCTTGGGATCGCCAAGAATTCCCCTGCCAACCTTCATTCTGATTTGAGGGAAAATCGGCACCCGCTAGTGCCACCGAGCCAATGTGCCGTCGGCGACTGACTAGTCGACGCGACACGTCAAGGTGGGGTTATAGCGGGGGGGGCGCCACCGGTGCAGCGAAGCCCGAGAAGATGTTCACCCCCCAAAAAATCCGCTGGCAATTGTTGTCAAACGGGTAAAGGCGCTCGCTCTTACGATAGGATAGGGGCCCATACATAGCTGCCCACGAGGGGTGGAATAAAAAATTGAAGTGTGGGGTTGACTGATCGTCATATTTGAAGTCGCAGCTACCCCTCATCGTTGTTTTGACCTGCTCTCCTTCTCTGCTTCTTCTTCTGCTCCCTCCCTCCGGGCTTCAATTTCTCTCCCTCTGACTCTGACACCCTGCTTGAACCGTATCGTACTGAATTGAAGACTTCTCTGCGTTTCCCGCCATTCCAAATATGCCCTATCCCGAGAAGTTCACCGGTTTCCAGGTCAATGGACCGGAAACCTGGCTCGAATTCAACAAGAACGAGTTCGACCCGAAGCCCTTCGGTGACTATGATGTCGACGTCAAGATTGAGTGCTGCGGTGTCTGCGGGAGTGACGTTCACACAATCAGCGGAGGATGGGGCGAGCAGAAGTTCCCCCTCGCTGTCGGGCACGGTATGTTCCGGAGCGGGTCATGCTCGTGTCGTGAAGTGGCCTGTGCCTGGCTGACCCCTTCCGCGAATAGAGATCGTTGGCAAGGCCATCCGAGTTGGACCCAAGGTGACCCTCATCAAGGAGGGGCAGCGCGTGGGTGTTGGCGCCCAGAGCTATTCCTGCCTGGACTGCCGCCAATGCAAGAACGACAACGAGACCTACTGCAAACACCAGCTTGATACCTACGGCGCTGTGTGGCCCGACACGGGCATCGTGTCTCAGGGCGGCTACTCGTCTCATGTAAGGACACACGAGCACTGGTAAGTTGACTTCAGGGTTTTGAGCAACCACCAAGCCCAGCCCAACCCCCTTGGGGCGTGTGCAATCGTCCCCCGCTAATCTTCCTCTCGCAGGGTCTTCCCCATCCCCGACGCCCTCCCCAGCACCAGCGCAGCCCCCATGCTCTGCGCCGGCCTGACGGTCTACTCGCCGCTGGTACGCAACGGCACCGGGCCGGGCAAGAAGGTCGGCATCGTGGGCCTGGGCGGCATCGGGCACTTCGGCATCCTGTTCGCCAAGGCGCTAGGCGCCGAGGTGTGGGCCATCAGCCGGACGCACGCCAAGGAGGCCGACGCCAAGAAGATGGGGGCCGACGGGTTCCTCGCGACGGCGGACAAGGGCTGGAACGAGCCGCACGCCATGACGTTCGACCTGATCGTCAGCACGGCAAGCAGCTTCGAGGGCTTCGACCTCGACGCCTACCTCAGCCTGCTCGACGTGCACGGCAAGTGGATCAGCGTGGGCCTGCCCGAGGGCGAGGGCATCAAGGTCCGCAGCCAGACGTTCCTGAGCAACGGGTGCTTCTTTGGCAGCTCGCACCTGGGCAGCAGGCGGGAGACGCTGGAGATGCTGCAGCTGGCCGCCGACAAGGGCATCAAGCCCTGGGTGGAGGAGGCGCCCATCAGCGACAAGAAGTTGGCCGAGATCTTGTCGAGGCTGCACAAGAACGACGTGCGGTACCGGTTCTGCCTGACCAACTACGCGGAGCAGTTCGGAGCGTGAAAGGCCTTATTTCATGGGGTATTAGTAATTGGGAGTCTGACGCATTTGGAGATGGCGTCGTCTGAGGCTGGACGGAAAACTCAATTTTACGCCACACTGCTTCCGGCCCGCTTCTCTGTCCTGCAGGCTGGCGCCGAAGCCCTTGCTGCTGCTTTGGCTGAATATACGTAAATTACATAGTAGATAAGCAATGGTCTATGACTGCGATGCAGTTTGCAGCACGCAAAAACGAGGACCAACTCAAGTGCCCCTTTTCTAAGGAACTTGGCGGGTCGCTTCGCCAACTACCCCTGTAGATCAGCGGGTGGGACAACAGAGGAAGACTTCAAGAGAGTAGTAAATCAGGATGTCTGGGACCATGCTTCCGTAACAATTTGCTTTGCAGGCTCGTAAGGTGGAAATATCATCCCCCACCCTTTACGGTCCCCGAGATGAGAACCGCACGTTGTATACCCATTGGTTGCCGTGGAAACACTGTAGTTAAATTTAAGAGGTGCATACTGCATCTGGTGCTACATCAGAGATAAACTTAACGGCAAATCCAGGTCCTCATTAAGGTAGACATAGTAAAATTCAGATCAAACTCAACATTCTCCATAGCTTCATATCAACCGTTGTCCCGTAGCCTCTCGGACAACTTCACAGCCTATCGCTTTTGAATTCGGTCCCAAGGACAGAGCTCGTTACTCGTCGCGACCAACTTAGTATTCGCACTCCTATAGGGAGACGAGTGCGTATAGCTTAGCTACTGATTAGACCATGGGTATTTCTCCTTGGAAAGTGTAGCTTCACGTATGTCGCTCACTTTGTCCTCAGTTGCCGAACTTTGACGAAAAAGGATTTCATCGAACAACTGCCAGCAGGTTTTTTAACTCGAGATCCATGACGGAACATCAACCTGTTCCACAATTGGACAGTATGGCGAATGTTGGCCCTGGGTTTCCGGAGCACGGCTTGCCGTGATTTGGGGAGAAGCCTCAAATGTCTTGTAATTTAATCTAATCCGGTGAAGAGCTATAGAGTTGAACGGTGACTGGCTTTGGGAGATCTGAGGAAACTAGTTAACATGACCCAAGTATACGACTCAGAAAGTAATACCAGGCTATGTCTGGTTGGCACACGAAGCTAGATTCAAAGCTGGATTGGATAAGTCAGGGAGAATGGATTCAACGAGGACCGTGTCAGCGTTGATCGCATGATTGGTTACCTAGTTGAGAGTCACAAGTCTCTCGGCTGGATATAATCATGCATGGACTGCTTCACCATCGTAGCCCGCACTCCTGACAAAAATCTTGACCCGGAACCGTTCAAGTTGAATAGTAATTGGCTCTTAGGCATGTATAGCCTCTGGTTCGCAATAGCAAATGAGATGGAACAACTACACAGTTCAAGGAGGGCAAAATGACCTTTAATATAATTATAACTCAGGAAAACCTAACCCCCGAAGCAACATTCAAATTATCTGAACCGCCTAGCCCGGTCCATTTTGAACCAGGTAATTAAAGGCACATACCCGGTTCGGGTTTCCTTTCCCTCGAAAAAAGGCGCGCATGACGTTCCCGTTCCCCTCCCGCCAAACTACGAGAGCTTCCTTATTAACCGTCGGCCCCCCCCAGAAATGCGGCGCCGTTGACATGTGACCCGCTGCAGTCCCTTATATTGCGAACCCTCCCCCGCGATTGCGTGCCTCCTCCGCATTCACTCCAGATGCCGCCATTTGCGATGTCCCCGGTTGCGAAGCGGCGGTCTTGGCGCTGGCTGCACTCGATGTAAGTACTCCCAGCGCCTACGGCGGTTCTGGATCTGGCGATCACGCGACTTACAGCCGCTGCGAGCTGTTCGCTCTCGAGGTGCTGGTCGTCGAGACCGTTGTTCGAATAACCAGAGTGATATTTGTCTCGTTGGGCAGCCTGGTGGATCGTGCTTGGCATTTGCACGGCCATTGCTTCTCAAATCTACGCGGATAATCATGGACACCTCGGCGGGACAGTGCCGGGACCGTGCCGGGATATGTCTGGTAGCGCTCCGTGATAATCACGATCGCCATCCTTGGCACCGCCGTTGTCACCCATCGTTTCAACACCGGGGGTTCGGACGGGGCATTATATCTTGGCGCAGGAGGGGGACATATTGTTGTTTAAGAAGAGGATGGCGAAGGCGATGGTGACCGCCATGTTTACATTTTGGTCTGGTGTTCCTTGCCATCCTTGAAGGAAGCGTAGTGGCATGGTCCATGAGGACTGCTGATCTGTGATGGAACGACTTGGCGAAGATTCCGCGGTATGAATATGAACCCCCAGCCAGCATGGTGTCTGTGGAGAGACTTGAAGTCAATATACACCAGAAATGCAAGTTCTTGCGAGTATTCTATCTGAGACGGCCGCGTCAGAGCAAGCCAGATACGTGTCGGTTCTATGGGGACAGGATGAGCCTCTTCTACATACGACGCGTGCCAAGAGAGTCATCTATATTGGATACTGAGCTTGAGAGAGTCTTTGAGAAGCGTCTTCCCTACTCACTCGTGCCTAAACGTAATTAGGGTAGTGTTCCCTAGCCGTTTGGGCCCAAAGTTAATTGGCGACACAGCCGTTGCCGTGCTATCCACAGTATCTGGAAGCCGGTCGAGCCATAAGAGGCTCTAAGAGGTATGTACTGTACTTGGGAAGATTGATGCGCGACCCTGCGTGTTTTTGAAGCTTGATCGGAGACATCCGGCTTCGCTCCGGAGTTTCTTTCCATGCTGATCTTCTTGGGACAGGGCCACTTAAAAGAGGAGTCAGGGTCCACGTGCAAAACAGGGGAATTGAGTGGTGAGTTGACACGTTGAATGTCGAGATTTGGCGTTTGACGATTACGTCATTCAACAGTGCCCCGCTGAATGCGAACCTTGGTATCTAGACGGACGATTTCCGTCTAGCCGTCTGCAGTAGGAATATCTAGTGATTATAGATAGAGAGGGGTTGCAGCCTCCAGGCCCGAATCAGTTGCCAATATGCTGTTATATCTGCAGGCGCCGTGATTCAAAATAATAATAATGATCGTCAGGCGAAGTGCCAGTGCATATCGCAAAGTATTTACAGTGTGGATCGTTGGACAGGGACCCCTCACACTTCTGAAAGCGCCAGGCTCAATAGGGCATGGCTTCAGGAGTATGCCCACGGTCCAAGTGCCAAGAACCCGGAACATAATATTAAACAAGCGCTTTTGTGAAAAGGGGATGACGGGAAGAAAAGGTGGGAACGGCGGAAATCTCTTCTGCTGCACCCGAAAGGCACACATCCTGTGCCATAGTAACCGACAGCATCAGCGCATTCATCATTTAATTACCTACCCCATACTTACATACGTTTGACGGGGCCTCGCCTAAACAAAATAGGTGACACCTCAAAACCTGCGCCCTGGCATGAGCCGCAAAAGAGGGGACCGGACACGTCCACCTTCCCACCAGGCTGAGCAGACAGAGCATTTTCTGGTACAGTACCATGTCCTCATACGCGATTACGAGCCAGCGGTTTTTTGTACTGTACCACAGGACTCCGTATGGTATGCGTACTTCGTGATTCGAGAACCAGCCGGCAAACTGGGAGCTTGTGCAGGGGGATGGAGGGCCCTCAGCCAGTCAACGGGCATCGCTAAGGCAGGTGCTTCACCCATTTGATCAAAGTTCGTAACTTAGTGTCTTGGCAAAAGCGATTTCCACTGGGACTTGACAGCCACTTTCCGCCACAAACCCGCCGCAGTCCACTCCTTCGCCCGAAAAACATGTTGCCAAGACCTGTATCCATCTTTTGAAACACACAGAGTTGGCTTAGCAAAGTCCCCCAGAGTCCCCCCCGACTCTTCAAGGCGGAGAGTACGTCGTAATACCCCTTTAGCGGAATGATGACTCGAGATCATCGTCCATGCAGTGCCCCTCTGGCGTGCAGGGTTTTTGGATTCTAGAGGTCTTGGCGATTTCTCCCTCCCTTTTTCAGTTTCCCCCTTCCGTGCGAACTACTACGTAACGCCGGGGGGGCCTCATCATTAAATTACGGTCCGCGCAAGACTCTGAACCTCTTGGCACGACCTCCCTCGGTCGCCCGCATGGTCCCCAGTCAGTCCCCAGTCAGTCCCCTTCGCCCCCAAACTACCTCCCTAATTCACAGACGACCATTGCGGCTCTCTTTATTTTCTTTTGATTTCTTCGTCTCTCTTTCGGCACCCTTCCCTCTTCGCCCCCAACGATCCCGACCGTCGACCGATCCCCACTCTCTATCGACGAGACACGCCGATGCGATAGAGCTGCCCCCAACTCGAGTGCGGTCTCTTCCTCTGACGTCGTGCGAGTATCCGAACAAGCGAGCCTCGCCGTCACCCAATAATCCGGGCTAGATGCCCCCGTCGACGGTAGCACTTGCACCGCGTCGTTTCTTTCTTTAGAATCGGCAGGTCTCAACTCGGCCGCGCTGGCCCCTCTCGCTCGTTTCTTGCCCCTTCGCCAAAGGGCTTAATACCAACCACACCCACCCACCGTAGCCATGTCGGCGAAATCGAACTCGAGGAACGTCAAATGGGTCGAGGTAAGTCGCTGGCTGGAGCACACAAAATCGTTCCTCAATGGCATGCCAACAAGCAGCTCCAGGGCCTCCGTGGCATCACCTCGTTCCTCGTTATCATGACGCACATGGCCCGGGCCTGGGACTTTCCGCTGTTCTGGCCCAGCGACCGCCCCGACGTGCCGCCGCGGTTCCTGCAGCTGCCCATCATCCGCATTCCCTTCCAGGGCCGGATTGGCGTGCCCATCTTCGCGTTTCTGACAGGATTCGTGTGTGCATACAAGCCGCTGCGCCTGGCCTATCAGCAGGGCAACACCCCGGCGTCGCTGCACAGCCTAGCCCGATCCGCCTTCCGCCGGCCCCCGCGCCTGATGCTGCCGGCAGTCTTTGCGACCCTGATCAGCTTCGTACTGTCGCTCCTTGGCGCCTACCAAACATCTGCCCACTGCGATAGCTTCTGGGTCCGCTTCGACACGCCAGACCCGGCCGTGAACACCTTCAATGGCCACATCCGGAGGTTATTGCGCTCCCTGTTGACCACCTGGACCAGCACCGAGAATGTCTACGACCGCCACCAGTGGGCCATGAGGCCGTTGCTGATCGGTGCCTTCCAGGTCTATCTAACCTTGGCGGCCACAATTGGGATGCGATTCAAGTACCGGATTATGGTCCATGTGCTACTGTACTCGTACTGGTTGGCGAACACGGCTGCCTTGACGGGTGCGTACAAACTCCCTCACCCCAGCTGTTCTTCCACACCCCCCGACAGCGATTCGCGCAGGGGCTACGATGCTAACCCCGTTGCTAACAGAAACATTCGGCTCGAACCTCGCCCTCGGCACACTCCTCGCCGAGTTGTCCCTCCACCGCCCGACGCAAAACTTCCTTGCCGCGCGGTCCCGGATCCTCACGTACATCGTCGCCCCGATCCTCATCACGATAGGCCTGTACCTTGGCAGCTACCCGCACGAAAGGGAGGAGTGGCAGCCGTGGTCGCGGCAGATGCGCGACATGTTTGTGGACCCTGCCGGCGATGGTACCCGAGGCACGCTCCTCGTGCCGCTCGGCAGCTACGCGCAGCGCCGCATGACCTCGGCCGCCGTGCAGATGTGCTCCCTAGCCATCTTCCTGTCGCCAGTTCTACGGGAGGCCATGTCGAACCGCTGGCTGATGTGGCTCGGCCAGCACTCGTTTGCCGTTTACCTGGTGCATGGCACCATCCTGCGCACCGTCGGAATGTGGATCGTCTACGGCGTGTCTCTCGACAAGTACGTACTGCGCGGCAGCCACGGGGAAGGGAATCCCAGGGAAACCCAGTTCCTGCACCCGCTGTCGAGGGGCCACAAGCAGGTGGCCGTCGTGGTGTTTGTCAGTTTGACGTACCTGGCGGCATGGGCCTGGATGAAGTGGGTTGATACCACATGCGCCAAAATAACCGTGTGGCTGGAGAAGAGGGTGTTTGAGGACGACGACAATGGGAAGGAAGGAATGGCCGAGAAGGGCCTTGCACAGCCGCTGCTCAACGGATGCGCGGATGGAATCCTCAGGCCGGAGGAGTCGGACCGGGCACGGCAACCGTCATGATAGTTCATGAGTAATGAGCCGGGGGTCCGAACGAAACACCACCACCAGGGGCAACCCTCTTTCTCTCCCCCTTCCGGGACACATTTTCTGATGCCCGGGATGATGTCATTTGCATCGTTTACGATGGAACGCCCATTGTGCCTTTCGATGCGCGCCAACCTTTGCCTTGATTGGCCTTCATATTGTCTCATATTTTCCGGCCTTCGGATGAAACTCCGTGTTCAGGTTCCGGGCCCACCCATGGATGGCCCGACAAGGACGCGCGTTCGGAGACATCTAACCGGTCGTGGACCTTGCATCGCCTAGCCGCACCTGCTATAACCAATTTTCTTTTTTCTTCCCTCCTCTTCCTCTATTTTTATCTCCTCGTGGGTGCATCTGGTGCATATCATTGGAGAGCGGGCAGTGACCGTCCTGTACATAGCGAGGAGCAGTGTCGGATTCGAAGCATTTAGGAGTTCTAACCATTCTACAAACGGGTTCTTTCCGGGTCGCGGACTTGGGAGATCTATTCACATGGCGAGGCATCTGGGCCCCATATTTCCTTTTGTAATTTATATCGACCTGCTGAATCAGTTCAACAATTTCTCTCCCGGGTCTTGGTGTTCGATCTCCCTTGATTCAGGGGGCTTCTCTGCCGATGATCCGTGTTGGCAACTGCTGTGAACACGTGCACGAATCAACAAGCCCATCCCGGATTGCCAAGCGAGGCCAAGAGAGACGTCATCTATGTTCTGCCATGCAACCCGCTGGTCCCGGACTCTCCCCTCCCGTCTCTGGCTTCCGTTCCCCTCCCTTGCCGTCGGAAAGGGAGCGACGATCTTCTCCCCCCTTGCGCTGTCCGCCTCCCTCACACAGAGCGATTATTACACTGTATGCTACGGATCTTGGCGCAGGGACACACGCGGCCCGGAAACACTGCCGAGTCCCGGCTATAATGGCCCGCGCCCGGGTCGGCTCCCGCTGCCGAGTTCTATTGAGCTTTACATAGTACAAACGTCGGAAGGTCTTCCATCCAAGAAAGAAGTTGTTTTAACCTTTGGTTTTTGTCTCATGATTATTAAAATCGTCAAATTACCCCAATGCCCATCCCATCCCATGCGCTAAAAATCAACAAAAACAAAAAGAAAGCGTGGTATCAAAAACTAACTAACCAACCAACCAACTAACCTACTTGGAACCATCCCCAGTCCCGCACGTCGCACCCCCCGGCGGATCCCCCTTCCCGTCCGCAGCGTGATACCGCACCTCAACCACCGTGCTCCGTATAATCCGCCCCGGCGCCTTCTCCGCATCGCCAATGATGCACTCGTCGCTCCGGCTGTCCGCCCCGGCCTCTGCGAGCTCGTGTCCGTCTTCTTCTGATCCGTCGAAGTCATAGTCGTCGTCGTCGTCGTCGTCGTCGTAACCCGGCGCACTGCTAGAAGACCCGGTCGACCGAGACCCCGAGGAGGCCTTGGACGCTCCCGCGCCGGCACCGGCAGTGGCAGTGGTAATGGCGGTGATGCGCGACGACGCGGCGTGGTGGTCGTTGGAGCGCCGGCGGTTGGAGACGCGGAGGTCGCGGAAGAGGGTGCGGAGGACGGGGATCGAGGCGGCCATTATGGTTACGGCTGATTCGGCTGTGCCCCATATTATGAGGCCGGTGAGGTTGTCTTTGCGGGGGAAGGGAGGTTAGTGCTGGGATGGATAATGGGACTGGGTGGGATTGGGGGGAGGCTTACATGTGAAGTCTCCCGCCGCGAGGGCTGGGATCTCGAGTGTCTTGACGATTGATGTCACGCCGGCGCTGGGGAATGGGATGTTAGCCTGGCTGGTCTTCTCAGGGGGGTATAAAGTTGTCCCACTTACAATATCCCCATGCTCATGGCCACGGCGACGCCGACCTTCTCTTTGCCCTTCATCTGCAGCTTCCAGACCATCTGCCACGGCAGGAGCGCCAGGACGAAATCTGTGGCAGCCGAGTATCCTGCGCCGCGTCTTGTTAGTCTGAAAATTCTCCCAAGTCGTTGCCCCCGGAATCAAGTCCCTAACCCCCGTTCCGCCACAAACAATAACCCCGCTGGGGGAAAAGGAAAACCAAAGGGGGGAAACCTACCAGCAGCAAACATGCCATACGCCAGATACACCTTATCAGGCCAGCAGGTGCCCTGGACGGTGGAGTTCCACGACCGCGCCACGGGCAGGCAGCGGACCCAGATGAACAGGGCGTTGAGCCCCATGGCGACGTTTGCGGACACGACGATGAACCACAGCAGCGCGCGCCGCGCGGGGCTGCCGCGCGTGACGCGCAGCAGCGTCAGCGCGAAGGACGTCTTGCTCCACACGGCGGCGACGATGGACAGCGTGGCCGTCAGGTTGGCGGCGAGGGACAGCGGAGGTAGCGAGGTGGGTGCCAGGGCGGATTCGTGCTGGCCTAGGCCGTGGGGGACGCTCCAGGTTGTGGTTAGGACGGTGCCGAGGAGGGCGAGCTGGGAGGCGGGGTGTGTTAGGGGAGGTGGGTTTGTGGCAGGGCGGGGGGTTAAGGGGGAGGAGGTTTTACCCATGAGAGGATTAGGACGTGGTCGTCCCACCAGAAGCCACGGTGGGCGGTCCATTTGCAGTACAGTCGTGCGAGGAGGAAGGCGGCGGAGAGGACGAGCAGGATCCAGGTTGAGATGAGGATCTTCTGCCCTTGGTCGTCGGTGCCGTCCATTGCGGGGAGGAGTGACGAGGCTGTTGCTGTGGAAGGGAGTGTCCACAATCAAGGAACGAGGTTTGAGGCGACTGGAGCAATCCCTCGCCGAGCGTCGTTGGCCTCGGGAGAAAAAAGAGAACAAGATTCACAATATCCTCATATAGTAGCAAAACGTGGACCCGCCTGGCCCACCTGGCAATGATCTCCATGGATATAAGTACTCCCCCCAGCCGTCACCTAACCCCCTCCAGGACCGTAGAACCATCTTTCCAGGGCCATCGCTCCCGAAATCTGGGGAATGTTTGTTCGACTTGGGACGAAAAGGGCCCGTCCGCACACCACCAGAGCCGCGCTTGAGCCACCGACCATGCCATTTGCGGACGAGCCGTGCGCCGAAGCCCGCGTCTCCTGGCTGTTGCGGGGCTGCCGTGTGTGGTGCAATTGCGATTGTGCCTGCGGCGGTTAGCGGGCTTTAAGCTTCGGACACAGGACACAGAGAGAATGCCCCGACGGTTCTGGGCGTGGGAGGGGTATCCAGGGGGGGCGGGTACCTCGTGAGGGGTCGAGGGGCTGGTGTTGTCTGCTCAAACCCCAACCCACGGACGGCGCATGCAGGTCGAACCCAGATTTGGGCCACACCTGATGTTGCACAGCGACTGAAGCAGTCTAGTTACGTCGTTGGTCTGTCTTGAGGGGGGTCGCTCGGCCATTTTTTAACATTTGCTTTTGGACAATTGAGGTTGGGATTTCTGCAAGTCATCGATAGTGTGTCCGCCCTTGATGGGAACGAGCCTTTTATTGCTGAGATGGACTCGCACTGATGTCTACGTCACACGCACTACACATATGATGGGCACAGCTGTCGGTGTACAAGACGCACCTGATCCTAAGCTGTGCCGCTGCGGAATAACCTCGCGGATTCAACTCGATAGCGTCACCGAGGCCCGGCGCAGGGCCACTCTGGATTGCAGCGTCGATGAATCACCGGCAACTGTGGCTCCTGATACAAGCTGCTGCCTTTATTAACGGCGATGCGATTTGTATTAATGGGATAATTACAGAGCCAAAGACGTCTGGGATTTATTTCTACCACTTAACCCAGATCCTCCAATCTCATCTCATTACCAAAGAAACATTACGTAGCAATCTATTGGGGGTCATAACCCGCGTTCACCAATCCACACCTCGCCACCTCCCCAGCTCACCATCTGCGACAGGCCGTGGTCCCCGGACCCCTCAGTAGTAGATAGGGTGGTCAGGGTCGGTCAGGTCGAAGATGACGCTCGAATGGGGACGGGCGCCACCGCGGTCCCTGGTGAAGATGGTCTCGAAGTCGATGGTGCGGTTGAAGGACAGGGCGCCGTTGGGCAGGATGTCAATCCAGTGGCCCTTGTAGTCGCCGGGGGTGTTGACGACCGAGATCTGGAGACCACCAGGTTAGTCATTTGTATCCAAAAAAGCCCCAGAGGGGGTTTGGGAGGGGGGCAAATCCTTACATCACCAGCCTGGACAAAGTATCCCGTGACGAGCAGGTTCTTCTTGTCGGGCGAGATCTTGACGTAGTGGGGGCCGATGATGGGCTGCTGCTCATTCGGGTCGTCGAGGCGCTTGACGTTGTTGAGGTCCGAGATGTCGAGCGCGGCGACGTGGTTGCCGAGCGTGATGGTGAAGTAGGCGAGCTTGCCGTCGGCAGAGATGTCCGAGTAGATGGCGAGCGAGTTCTTGGCCTTGGGGCCCAGGTCGTACAGCAGCTCGGCCACGCCCTGCGAGCCGTTCGGGTTCTTGCGGAACGGGTAGATGATCCAGACCTGGCCGGTGCCGACGGCACTGTGGAGGGACATCAATGTTAGTATTTACGGTGATGCTCTACTGGATTTTTGGGAGAGTCTTACGAGGCGAGTGCGGCTGTCTCGGGATTGCCGGGGATGAACTTCACGTCTTGTATACCTTGGCCCTGTTGGTGATGAGGTTAGCGCTGGGAAGGCTGTGGGTCGCGAGGGACAAGGGCATGCTCCTTACATTGGGAATGGTAATGGTCGAGATGATGGTCCGGGTCTTGAGGTCCCACAGGCGGAGGGTGTTCGCCTTCTTGATGCCCAGTGTAGGCTTTAGGATGGTGATGGGGACGACGAAGTCGGAAGTGATGATGATGTTCTTGTTCCAGTCGACGGTCAGGCCGTGAGGCGAGAACTGCTCCGAAAGGATGTTGAGCACGCCCGCGACATCCTCGGGCCACTCGTGGATGATGTTACCATTGGCATCGGTCTCAACAAGGCGGCCTGGGGAGGTGCCGACCGCACTGCCCATGTAGGTGATGAAGAAACCACTGGTAATTACAGGTCAGTCAAGGTCCAGCAGATGTTTTGGAGTTACTCTAAACGCATACCCTTCAGGCTTGGCCCGGATCTCATCAACGATGGAGCTCAACAAGGCACGGTTGCTATGCGAGAACTTCGGGCGGTATGGGTTGGTCACGTCGAAGTAGAAGGCAGTGTCCTGGGTCTTCAGGAGGGAGAGCAGGCCACCACCAACGAGGGTCTTGCCATCAGCAGACGGGCCGAGATGGTGGGGCGAGTTTCCGCTGGTTGGGACATCAGTCACATCGATGATTGTGCCAAAGGTGTCCTAAGGTCAAGGGTTCCCATTATTAGCCGGTGTAAGATGTATAATAACCCAAAGCAGGACATCGGACTCACGTCATCCAAGCTGGCCGTCACCAAGAAGTCCTTGTGGATGTTGTCACCGGAACCCGTCCAGAAGTACCCGATCTTCTTGGGCTTGATGTTGGACGCCGTGAAGGGGGGGCTCTCAAGCGGAGGGGTGGGGAGCTGGAGGATCGGGAGGGGCGGGGCGTTGGACGCTAGAGGCTCCGTGACTCCGGGGATGGAAGGGATCAGGGGTGGCAGGCTGATACCAAACGGCGCCTTCTTCACGACTGGCGCCACGCCGGCGGCGACGTAGGCAACCAAGTGGGCCAAGAGGGCGGCAGCAACTGTAGTCGACCGCATGGTGAATAGGGGGTGTGGCAAAAGAGATCGAGAAGGGGCTTCGAATGGGTTCGAATGGGTTCGAATGGGTTCGAAGGTGATGATCTGTGATGATCTGTGTTGCAGTGGAATGCAGAGAAGGGGTGAGAGAGATTGAGAAGGTTTCCGTCCTTATATATCTTCTTCGAATGTCTCGCATCAGCGGGTGTCAATGCTCTCCCCCCCTCCCCTTCAACTCCAAAACCAAGCAGAGGAGTATCGTGGGAATGGTATCATCCAGCCTCACGAAGGCAACATCCTCGCCGGCGACTATCGTTATTTCCAACTAGGAGGAATTCTGCTCTAGCCTCTAGCCGTCCCACACCATCTTGATGTCCTAGTCCTCGAAGGTCGGGAAACGTTGCGGATGGGAGTGGAAAACGTAAGACCGGACAAGCCTGTTTCCCGACCAGTTTCTTCAGCCCCTGCATTTTTAGTGCGATCTTTTATCGAAGTTAGCCACTCAGAATTCTTCCTTTGGCTAGGGGCTTGTATGTACGATCTGGACTGCCGTGACTTACAGGCAGGCAAAGTCATGGGATATTGAGTCGCTTGCTGCCATGTATCCGAACTTGCTCTCTTTCACAGCCTCATACTCATCATGATAGAGAGAAGAAGAGTTTCAAATTTCACCTCTTCCATTTGGACGAGCGGTAGGAGCGGTAAAGGGGCGGTGATATGGATGCACACTCGTGCCCAGTGAAGTTTAGTCTTCTTGATAACAAAGGCAAAGAAAACTGAGACATGTTCAGCAAAACGTTCCTGAACCCCCTGTCTCGAAGAAACGCTCCGGACTCACGCGATGGAGAGCAAGCAAGAGAAGGTCGCCGACCTCTACTTCTAGAATAGGAACTGATCTGCCAAACACGACTCCCAGGACCAGGCTTTCACGATTCTGTCATCGGTGAGGAGGAGGTGTTGTCCATTAGCTGGCTTGGCAAAGGCATACGCGCCACTGAAAACCAAGGAAAGTTGGGATGACAGACGCAAGGACGCATCCAGAACCGGGGGGGGTGGGGGGGGGGGGAGGCATCGCCAGATGCAGGTGACGACGATCTGTCACCCACAGCCTTGGATTTGCATCTGGGCACTAAGTGGGCCCTTGGCCACGGGGAAGACCAGAGAGAGAGGAAGAATCTGCAGATTTGCTGCTGGGAAAAGGATGGTCAGGGCCCTGATCGTGGGGGGTTCCTGTCCAGATCACTGATTCACTGTAGTGTTGACGAATGAGAAGTATGCGATCGCATAATCCCTTCATTTCAGAAGGGCCGAGGTTAAGATTTGAATACCAGGTTCCTGCAGCGTGAAGTTCAGCTCCTCATATCAAGATGAGTCTATGCAAGGCCGCATCAGAGTGCCGAAGCTCAGGTGCCGGATCTTGGACAGCCCGTCCGGGCGCAGGCCACGCCGATCGCCCCCAAACCGGGATCGAGGCATGCAGACGAAAAACAAGCGTATTTAAGCTTCAGGGGACAGGGGCCGGACCGACTCTCGTTAGCTGCTATTAGTTGAATAATAATCCAGGGCATGTCGTTGACCTGTCACGGAGAGAGCGACTGGAGAGGAACCAATCAGACGCCACATGACGTTCGACAAGGGTAGTTGGGTAGGTCAGCGTGGGGGTTCCGCGCCGGTGCCAAGACCGGCCGACCGATCACGACATCGACCCCAGATCTGTCGACAGAGTCCGTGCCTGGCAACTCCCGGCCAACTTCGGCGATCTCGGGGAAGATCTCAATAGAAATCGACCCTGGACGGCAGCAGCCTCGTGCTGATAAAGAGACCGAGATGGGCAATTGTAAATGTAGATCTCCAGGTGGACCAGGCCCCCGGAGCGGTGCAGCTCTCGATAGCGTGTCGTCGACGAGAGGCTGGGAGGTCGAAGCTCCGGATTCGCCATTTTGGATGCATATTGTGGGACGCGTGGGCGTGAGCCATCCGGGGAAACACATCACGTCCGCGGGGATCTTCTCATTTTACCCCCGTGCCCCTACGTGTAAACAAAAAGTGTGATTGGCAATGGACGTGGGAGCGCGCAGATGGCGCGATGCGGCATCGTGGGTGCTTTAAAAGGGTTGCGTCCAGATGGAGGAGGAGCCGGTCCCGCAGGATAGGAAGCTTCTCTCCCTTCACTTATCCCTCTTCCCTCTCTTGCGATTGAGTGATTTAAGTGACAGCCACCATGATCCCAACACTTCCAGTCCTGCTGGTATCCATCCTGGGGCTCGGCATCGCTTCTGCAGCACCTCAGAATGGCCAGAAGGGCGGGTTCAGCGATGGTCAGCCAAACGATGGCAATGGCAAAGGAGGGCCGCTTCTTGGTAAGTCTCTCTCTGCTTCCAAAGAAAGAGGCCCGACCCCAACAGTTATGGAAATTGCACAGCTTGCTAACATCCCATGGTGTTGTCCTGCAGGAGGAACGAACAGGGCGCTCGACCTGCAGAATCCAGACAATCTCGGCCAGCAGCCTACCGACAATGGTGTCGTGCCGAACGTGAAGTGGAGCTTCTCCGACTCCAAGACGCGTCTCCTCAAGGGTGGCTGGGTCAGGGAGCAGGTCATCACAGATCTCCCCTCGAGCCACGACATTGCAGGCGCTCAACAGCATCTCGTCAAAGGCGCCGTTCGTGAACTCCACTGGCATCGTGTTGTACGTTTACAGGGCTCCCAGGGGAACTGAAGATTTCCGATTTAACGCCATTTTCTAGGCCGAGTGGGGAATTGTCTACGCCGGAAGGGTGCTTATCAGCGCTGTCGACGAGTTCGGCCGATACCAGGTCGAGGAGCTCGGCTATGGCGACATCTGGTACTTCCCCAAGGGCGCGGCACACACAATCCAGGGGCTGGACGAGGAGAATGAGTATCTCTTGGTCTTCGACGAGGCCGACTTTGACAAGATTGGGTCAGTGTTTCATGTCTGGCCCCATTATTATATTCTCTCCTACCATGGACCCATACTTACTTGATTCCACACTGGCAGCACGACTTTCATGGTTGACGATTGGATTGCCCACACCCCGCGCCATATCCTCGCCAAGAACTTCGGCGTGGACCCGTCTGTCTTCGACAATGTCCCTGCTCCAAACCCGTACATTTTCAACGGGACGGTCAGCACTCGGAATGTCACCGACGGACCGGCTGGCACCCTCTCAGGGGACAGCTCCTACGTCTACCGCACCCTTCAGCACCCTCCTGAGAAGGTGCCCGGCGGAGGTGGCGAGTTCCGGAAGATTGACTCGACCAACTTCCCCATCAGCAAGACCCTTGCGGCAACCTTTGTGACGCTCAAGCCTGGTGGCCTCCGAGAGCTCCATTGGCATCCGAACGTAAGACTCTCCCTATGTCTCCTCCCAGATTCAGCGTCTTTCATGATGTGTACTGACACGTCATCTATCAGGCTGAGGAGTGGCTTTACTTCCACCAGGGTCATGCTAGGGCCACCGTCTTCATCGGCAACAGTGCTGCGCGGACCTTTGACTTCACCGCTGGCGATACTGCTGCGTTCCCGGATAACTCAGGGTGAGAGAACATTGCGGCCTGCAACTTGCCAAATTGTTGCTTCAAATTCCAACCGAACCCTCTCTAATCTTCCGTTGCAGGCACTACATTGAGAACACCTCCGACACCGAGGACCTTGTCTGGATCGAGATCTACAAGTCCGACAGGGTGGCTGACATTCCATTGACCCAGTGGCTGGCCCTGACTCCGGCGGATCTCGTTGCGCAGACACTGAAGGTGCCAATCAGCTTCGCGGAGCAGTTGAAGAAGGACAAGCAGGTTTTGGTTGCCTGATTCACGTTTGAGGTAGGGGCGCCAGGTAATCGGTCAAGCTGTTGTCAGGGGTAGGGCTTGGTGTAAGTATCGAATGGGTTTTTTCTTGAGAAACCGAGGTTTACCTTGTTCTCACATAACTCGCCATGCACTGGCTTATAATGTAATTCGTATTTTATTAATCCACTCGTGATTACTCAAGCCCGACCAGGGATTCCCGTGAACCTTACGACGAGACCGCTAGAATAGTATCGACGAGGTCTTGGCATTTCATCATGATTCTTAAATTTGATACCTGACTCTTCACAAGAAGGAATCTCTACGTACAGACAAGTGACCAGCACAATACCGGAAAGTAAATGTTCGTGTTTCGGCACTTGTTGTGTGCTGCGGCAATTGCCTTTCCTTCAGGCTCACCATGGGCGTGAGATACAAGTGAGCAGCTCACACCCGGCCACAATCCTCCAACGATAGAATCGACAAGTCGAGTGATAACCTGACTTTCATGCAAATAAACCGGAAACTTTGACCTCGGGGGCACTATCTGAAGTGACTAGTTGGAGGACGGGATTGTCCGTTGGCTTTTCTTCTAGATACCTGGTACTAAGGGTTGTCAACTTACTGGAGAGACGTATCAATTCCAAATACTATTAAAACTCAATTCCAAGGCTACAGATCAATATATACTCCTCGCCGGGTCATATGATATAACAAAGATGGTATCTAAATAACACAACTGCCTTGTAAATCACAACCCACGTGTTTGACAAAAATCTAGTATGTCCCTTCCCAAAGTAGCACCGGAATCCTTTTCCTGTACTGCCCCGTACACGAGCCCCATTCCCTATGAACACTCTCCTCTTATCATTTCAACCCGTGTGTCTGCACTGACAGCCTGTCTAATTCCCCATAAAGTATGATCATCCAAAGTCATGCCATACACCAGCTACACCGTCTGTGTGTTCCTTGACGACCTTTGCACATAGTCAGCGGCTGTGTCCCTATGCGGGCTCACCATCTCGTACCTGTTCCTATGCCCACTCCTGCGTCCGCCCCTGCGCCCGCTCCTCTGCTCCATCCTAGTCCCCTCAGGCAACTTGGGGACTCTCCTGAGCGTCAAGCCCATGCCCAGGCAGATAGTCACAGCGACAATCTCCATGATGACCTCCATGCCGAGGTAGCGCCACACGGTAGCCGTCTCGCCGGCGAAGACGCGCAGGCACGACGACACGATGCGCACGAGGACGAAGGGCAGGGCAAGCGCGACGGCCAGCAGGACGCGGCGCTCGCCGGCCTCGATCAGCGAGTGCCGGAGCGCGACCATGGCCGTCTGCACGCACAGCAGGACGTAGCCGGCGAGCATCAGGCCGAGGGCCACGCGGGAGATGCTGGCGTACTGGATCTGCACCCCCGAGGAGGCGGTGACCTCGTAGGTCGACTGGGTGCCGCCGACGATGCTGAGGATGAGGGCCACGAGGAGGATGGTGTCGACGGCTCGCCGGTAGCGGGGTTGAAGGATCGTCACGCCGCTGCGGTGGATGCTGTCCATGACGCGCGCGACGAGGCTGAGGAGGGTCAGGATGAGGGGGGAGAGGCCGAGGTTGTTCAGCGTCAGCCAGCCGGCGTAGAGGTTTGTGTTGGTGGCGTCGGAGATGGTGGCGAGCCGGAGGGCGCTGCCGATGATGCGCGCGAGAGAGAGGATGATGAGGAAGTAGAAGCCGGCGCTCCTGCGGAAGCCATGTCTGAAGCCGAGGAACACGGAAATGATGAGGAAGGGAACATATATTACAATCTCGGCGATTGAGATATGGTCATATGTGTCGATGGCTCGATGCATCATGGAGGGATGTGCGTTGCGGAGGGGGAAATTTGAGATGGATGGAATCGAGATGAGAGAGAAGTGAGAACCCAGTCTGTGTTTTGAGGTTCTGACCACGACTTTATGTACATGTCTGCCGGCCCTGAAGTGTTTTCCGCCATGCTCACTGTCCAGTGCCTCCGCATTGGTTACAGTACGCCGGGGTTCGACGATCGACGACGACTCGCCAATCGCCTGGCGGGGTGCCAAGAGCGAATGCGATAACGACGACCTCCCCTGAGCTGGTAGCCAATCGGGAGTACCGAATATTGTCGGTACGAGTCGCTTACTCACTACCTTGTCGCTAGCGTCAGCCCTGCCCAGACTCAGGCACGTGAAAACGATAACGAGAACGAGTGCCTTTCATGACGCGTCAGCCACGTTGCGCAGCCACCATTCCCGCTGTTGGTCGAGCTCAAATCCACGGCAATGCGGCAACTTTGCGTTGCAAAAAGGGCCGCAGAGCCACAAAGAAGTGGAGCGTCAATCCAACCTACATACGTACTTACCTACGACATATTTGCTCCGCTTTCCCGGCCATCTACGAGTTCCTCAAGGAATTAACATCACCGTTGATAGTTCCTAGGAATAATTTCCCAGCGATGGTTCACTGTTGAACACCGGCTTTAATTGAGTTTTCCTTGCCATTATTGCAACAGAATTCTCCTGTGTGTGGATTTCGCCGTGCTAGGAAAATCCCCACACCCTCGCCATCGATCACGACTGACACGCAGGGCAACTCTCGGAGCTGCTACAACGACGGGCACGCGCTCGACCGCGGCCCGTTGCTCGACTCCGCCAGTACCCTCCGCGTCCGCGTCGAGGCGGAGCCTTAGTGGACCCCGACCCGTTTCTCGAGTAGGAGATTGAGCCGCCCGACTTGGTATTCGGCGTGGAGACGGCCTTATCGGTCGACGTCAAGCTCTCGGGGCGTATGTTTGGCTTGACGCTCATTTGTTTATTCCTTATTAGTTGTCCGCTGGTTAGTCACTGGTTCTGGTTCTGATGTTGCTCCTGGGCTTGGGCTTTGGCTTGGGCCTGAGCTTGTGACTTGGCCTGCCTTTATAATGCCCTGACGTGATCCCCCGGACTCGGTGGTTCTGGGAGTTGATCCAGCGTGCCAAGCGTGTTGATATCAACAATGTCCATCCAGGTCAAGTGCTTGATGTAGGCGAGCAGATCGGGCACTAGCAGTTGCCCAGACGGAGGTGCGTCAGAGACTCTCGAGTTCATCCTTCGCCATCCTCGCGATACCGGCTTCCTCTTCGCATTCTGGAACGACCGAGGTCGCTAGTTCTGGGCAGAGAAAAAGGCCTTGAGGATCGACATCCGCAACCACGGCCGGGTCTTTGACCGGTTCGAGTTCGACTCCACCGCCAACTGCACCCGCCTGCACGAGCTGCGCCTGGATCGCCGCGGCCAAGTATTCGGCGCTCGGGGGGGGGGGGGGGGGGGGGGGGGTGGGGGGGGGGGGGTGGGGGGGGGGGGGGGGGGGGCGAGGGGGGGGGGGGGGGGGTTATGCTGTTACGCTCCGGGGGCTGCCTTGTCA